AAATGCCCTGTAGTGTTCTTAGATTGCTTGGATAAATACAGCCATATGAGGCATCTAGCCTGCATATGTACGTGTTTGAAGCTCAGTTCTGCCCACTTACCGGTATAAACAGAAGGCAGCATAAATAATGCAGTCCATGGAAACAAATCAAATCAAATAAATTTATTTTCTTGCAGATGTTGAATAAATACACCAGTTAAATTCCAACTACCTAGTCTTAAAGGGATTGTAGGTAATAGTAATGCCAATGAAATCACTCCTGGGCATGAACTATTCTCTCCACCCATCCCCTCAAGTTCACGGTAATTAGCATTTCTAATTAGTAATTAGTATTTCTTAAAACCCCACACAACGGTATATTACACTTTACATCATGATGATATTACATCATCACATAGTAAGTGACATATTAGGGAGAATCACCAATCGCTGATCAAGTGCCATAAATCTGTATCAGGGTTCAGCCACGGAAATTCACAAGGTGGGGGCGGGGGCAATTGCTGGACACCACATGACACTAGGGGACGCTGTGTCATCTTTTATGCACAGTTGCACTCTTAACGTTACATCAAAACGGTGTATTTAAATATGTCTTTTGTCCGCTCACCACTCTGAACTGGGGGGGGGATATGTGCCCCATCCTTCCCAGGATTACACCCCTGTACCAATCTCATCAGATGTGGTCTAACATTTCTGTCATTGTTCAAAACAAACTAACCACAGTGTCCTTTCCCCCGAAGTGGAAAAAAAACCAAAAAACAAAGGCTGAAGTTTAAAAATAGCTCTTCTAATTGCCACCACTTCCATCTCTCAAGTTTATTGAGACCCATAACAAGAATGCGTCTGTGTGAAATTATACCAGGTTAACAACTTTGCTGTGTTCCGGGCTGTTCCGCATTCAACTTTTGAACTTCAAAACGATGCGCACGTGATTTTATTTCAAACAGTCTGGTGTTTGTAAGTTAAAGCCTGCTTGCACCTGCTGTATCTTTTTATCAGTTTTGCTAGTTGGGAATCAACTTCCAGGACATCATACAATATATGTTTACTCTCCAATAGAATCCTGTTTACTGAAGTGCTTTATGAACACAAAGATTTATATCAATAAGGTCTACATCAACAGAATTCTTGTATCACAATAGCATTCATTGTGCACAGACTGGCCATACAGACACTGTTCTGTGCATCTATAGTAAATGTACGTGTAGCTACATGTACATATAAATGTAAGTGTACATCTGTAAGGGCGTTTCCTGACATGGATGTTTGCAAAATGAACATACTCTGAAATGTTTTTGGAGTGGTCGTCAGATTGCAGGTTTGGGGTATCAAGGGAGGTGTTATATTATTAGTATCACAATTTTTATTGGATATAGCTTGTGAATTAAGTTTTCCTGAAAATTCCATTTGCTTTTCTTGAAATTTTTCTAATATTCTCCTTACAGTAACATAGATCTGTCTGGCTTTGTGTCATCAGATTTGTTATTCTTGTATTTGATTCACATGTGGTCAAAACTTGATTCAGCTATTTGTAGAACAGCTTGACTGAAAACCGAATGCGTTTAACTGGTGGAGGGGATTGCTTTCTACCGTAAGTACAGAGTTACATGCCCGGAATATTGTTTCAAGCCCGGAATATTGTTTCAAGCCCGAGAAGTTCAAGTGCCCCAAGTAACTGTAATAAGAGTCTTCTGTCCTCCGATTTCAGTATCATGTTTCACACACCTTGGGGGGTTATTAACCCTAATGCTCCTGAATCCAATGTTTGGAGGATTCAGGCCTGTTAGGATCACTGAGCAAGATGCCACGGTATTTCCCGCACACATACACATGTAGGCAGTATAACGGCACAGAATGGTGGATTTGGATGATTGATGTACATGTACGAAACCGTACCCCTGTGATGTGGTGGTGTTAATAACGCAGTCGTCCATGTTTTACCCAGGCCCCATGCATAGCTCTAATTTGACTTTGAAAAGAGGAATTGAGGTGAAAGGTCGCTGCAATTTCTACAGGACAAGGTACATTTACATTGTAATCATTATTGTGCTGGCAATGTTTTTGTCTTGGAATAGCACAAGCAAACGGCTTGCCTGTAGTGATTTACACCTGATCAGAGACATTTAAGTCGGCGCTTAGCGGCTGGACAATGAACAAACTTTTCAGCAAAATTTATTTTCCGGGTGGTCAGGGGCAAGCGGTAAATAAGTGTAATGTCAAGGGTGCATGTGCTTTATGTCTATTCATGGATTCTAGGTATGCAGGATCTGCCTGGGTCCTCTGTCTTTCAAGGGACAAAATTTGAGGGCATGGATGACCCGGTTTGCATTTCTTTCAAACCGTCCTTGCCCTCTAGCTTTTCCTGCTGTAAAAGGTCTTTCACTATTTGTAAATCACAGACAAATGCCACCATGGATCCTTTATAAAAGATGTTTATTCGAAGAAGTATGCAGTGCAGCCAGTGTACTTACAGTTTATATTGGTATAGAGTTTGATTCCTCCAAGTACAGATAGACAGAGATACAAACTGAAAATCTAATGAACTGGACTTACATGTCTACCTGCATAACTCTTATAACTTCAAAAGACACGTGTGATCAAAATATTCTGAAAGTACCAGTCAGTTCATAATCATGTGTGATACTTCTGACTGTTGGTGTTTTAGAGATTTGGTATCTTGACATAGAATATGGATTGACGTGAATGTTTGGAGTGCCAATTATGGCAAAAGTTTTCCCCAGACTGGAGTGAGCTGCCCATTGGAACTTACGGTACTCTTCCATAGTCCCCTGTCTCTACTCCCACCCCTTACCACCCCCTACATAGACATGCATTCCACCTCTCTGAAAGCCTTGTGGAGGACTTTATCTGCTCCATTAACTGTTTTGTGGAGTGGCCTCAATCCAGATTCTCAAAAATTCAAGCTTTTGCATTCCGGCCTTTTTTGTGCCAAATCACCGGTGCTGAAAAAGGTCAGTGGGAGTCACTTATTATCGGTTGTTGATCAGCACCAAAGTAAGGTTAGACATAATCAAGCATGGATATTAGTGACTTACCTTTGGAGACTTTAATTTTTGAGAACTATGTTGATTTTAACGGAGGGGACTGATGAATTGGTTGACGGACAGAGAATTTCTTTTACAGTTTTCCTTTGAAATTTGTAAAGTCCTTGCATTTTAGTATTCTGTAGAGATCCATACCAAAATTTAAATGTGATCAAAATCTGAAGTATGAAACTTGTATCCTGACTCTCTGAAAGTAGAAATCTCCTCCCTTTTTCTCTCAATGAACTTGGTGTACCATAAACTAAAAAGATTCACAGACATGTGCCTGACAAATTGAAGTATTTTTGGTGGTGAGATAAATGGAGACCAATTCAGGTCTTCCAACACTACGTATGGGTTGAGAGTGAGCATAGACTTTAATAGGCATGGAGTGCTGAGAAAGCCCGTTTCAGACCTGGGTTCCTGAATGCAACAACAAAGGCATTGGAACACTGTTGTTGTAATAAAAAACAATCGTTTTCTCCAGTTGTTTGGAGCAGTTTTTCAAATTACTGAATGTTTTTCCCAGCCCAAACAATCCCTTGTAGGCCTGAAAACAGTACTTGAGAATATAGCCTCCAATGCGGGAGTGTCATGATCAATGCATAAGAGTTAGTGCCCCAGGGAATCTTGAATATTTACACTTCATTTTCCTTTGAAAAGCAGATGGGGGTCAAGTTAATGCAGTTGGGAATAGGGGGATTTATGTTCATTACACCATCATTGAGTACTGTACACAATTTAATATTTCCCACGGTTATCCCCATTTTCCAGGATGAATGTGTTTTCATCATGTTATAAAACTAATACAAACTTTGGTCTGTAATTGTCCTCAGAAAGAAGGCCTTTACACTTATTTTGTTCCTTTAAAAACAAGGACAACACCTGACATGTGCAACAGGTGGTCTTTTCCCTCCTGGACTTTTGTAGAACAAGAATGTGTCTGGGCAGTTTCTCCTGTTTTTGTCACTATTGGGTATCCAAAATTGACTCTCAGTGCCTGATGTTTTGGGGGAATAATCCTGGGGCCCTTATTGTAACTTTTGTGATGGTGATTTTCCCATGTTTGCCATTGGCTATTGTGTCTGATCCTGTTAGCCTCTGTTCAAGGCTATTTCCTCTTGATCACAATACCCATCGTTCACATGTCCCATTTGACCCCGCATGCTTGCAGATTGTGCACGACTAGGTGTCTGTTTGATATTACATTGTGGATCAAAACTGCCCTGATGTCTTCATTTCCTTCTCTCGCGCTTGCCTGCTACACAGGTTTTACAAAGAAGACTTGCGCACTGTATGGCTTTTTAGAGATTTAACAGAAAAACAACCTGGAATAAGAACTGCCGTAATTACCGGTAGTTTCATTTCAAAAAGAAGTTGTAAGGTGATTGAAGAAGTACGCGTACATTGTTCTTTAATTTGGCTGAAGGTTGAAGAAAAAAATGTTTTTGGCTGTATACTGCTCTCAGTTGGGCATTCATTTTACTACTGCATGTCTCCTGGTTGTTGTGACCGTTTTTAGTCTCTCACTCTAATGGAGAAGACTTTCAAGACATCAATGTCTTGATTTTGTGCTGTGGCCAATCAGCATAGGGCTGGCCATTGTGGTCGAGTCAGATGACAGCAATCCACCAATCAACAACTATGGTGTCATTTCATTTGCCCCTCGAGCAGGATTGCCTGCCAATAGAGGACAACATAAATTCAGCACAGTGCGTTTGGAGCAGGCCCTGGCATTACTGTGACTCTGAGATTACCATTGCCAATTGCCCTAGATCGGTGAAAATCCTATAATTCTTTTTTTTGCTGGGCCATCTGATCTGACATGCAGTCCTTAACACATCTGGGCCAGATTTCAAAGTCCCTGGCCCATTTTTCTGTGAGACTCCCAACTGCGAAACAAGCATTAACTAAAAGTAAAAGTAAGAGTACTTTTGTTTCCTGTATTGGTTACAGAGCAACGCCGCCAGTACCCGTAGTGATAGACAGGTGTTGGAGACGGTGTCAGCCTACCTCACAGGGCTCAAGACCCAGCTTGCAAAGGTCAAAGGCCAGCTCATCTCATTGGTAAGTCCTCGCATCTGGCCAGGCTGGCACAGTGGCTGTGCATTGTCTAGACTGCAGATTGAAAACCCCTTCCTCTATTTCAGCTTAGCAGAGCTTTCTTTGTGCCTATTATCATATTTTGGAAAAATAACTAGAGCATTAAATGTTGACCCTGCAGAATCCTTGAGTCTTTTTTTGAAGTCCAAAAAAGTGTTGGAGACTTAAAATTACACTCCACTGTTATAAGAACTAGTTAGCAAAAACATATCATGTCATTTATGAAATGAGTTTAATTTTACCTTGCTCCCCAACCAGTGTTTCTCTGGATGGTTTCTTGGCACTGTGGCATCGAATGAACTTGCCCCACAATTTAAACCTGTTCTAATTCTTTTGGGGTGCCTTTCCCCTACTCATTATGCAGTTTGAAACCTGAAAATGTGAAAACCAGTGAAGATGTTTGATTTGGGGCTGCACTGTCCACCTTCCGTAAGCGGTGGAAAAACAGACTCTTTTGTGGACTGTGAAAACTGGGAACTTCCATCCTTGTGTAGTTCTCAAATTTGTTTCCTAAAAAGGAACCTGTTGTTTTCAGTCACTGATAATGCCCGGCACCGGTACCTTATTTTCTCACTGGCAATTCAAAGTGACCTCTTTCATAGCCCACAATATTTCATTAAACTTGAATTTTCCAGTCTGAGAAACACCAAAAGAATAAACATCCACACCCCTGATTCTACTTTTGTCCGCCCAAGGCCACACAATCTCTATGTGCGGGGCCAAATACCCTCAGGAATGCAGGGTTTTTCACAAGGAAGGAAAAGTGAGTGGGTGTAGGCCTACATGTACAAGTATGTGCTTCATGTGGTTGTGGATTACACAATGGGCGTGCGGTATCCCTTTGGCATGGCAAGCACCCTGTAGGCAGCTGGGTTGGATTTGGTCTAGCTTGCAGTTAACTCCAGGCTGTATCTTCACAGGAGATCACTTCTAGTAATTTTGTGCACCTCTAGGTAAATACTGCTACTCAAGGAAATGTGTTTGCTTATAGTGATTAGACTCTTCACCAACATGTTTGACTAAAACAATAAACCCTAACAATAACCTCTTCCACATTCCCCCTGACATATCAGTGCAATGTAGTTTCTACACGTCAAGCCTTTGGGAGTGTTTCTAGGTTTCCAATCAAGTTAACTTCAATTTTGTAAAACTTGAACATACCGTTCTCATGAAATGCACATTTTTAAGACAGGTCTGCCAAACAATGTCAACTTTCCGGTGGATGTGCTCAATGTTCACGGGCAGGCACTCATGAGGCTAAGAAATTCAAATGACCATAAACAGTGAAACCCTACGTTGCATTGAATTGCAATGCCAGGGATATAATGAGTGTCTTTGTATGCCTATTTAGTTTTGAAAAGATAAGTGTGGGACTGCAAAGTTCTCGGAGGAGAGAGGGTGGAATCCCCCCAGCTGTGAGATGGTCTGAAAAGCCTAAATCTTTTTGGGGTTTTTAAATAGTTTATGCAGGAGGCTGATTAGAGTCAAATTAAGTCAATATGTAATTAAATTTTAATTTTAGTGAAGAAACTGAATCTGGTTTTTTGATATTTTGTTCTTTTTTTGACCCTGAATTATCAGAAACGTGAGAAGTTCTCCTTAGAGCACAGACCGCTGCGATTGAAGAGGACAAGAGATCTGGAGGGTTCCAGTAAGCAAGCCCCGGCCACACGAGGATGTTTCTGCCCAATTGACAAAGATTGTTCAGTCTTGTTGGGTATGTGTCTCTAACGTGTTAATGCTGGTTTATACATGTACACTGTAACTTCACACAGAGGGGTGTATGAAATAGATATGACATTGTGAAATGATTGTGGCAAAATTGGCTGCATTAACACTGAGCTCAAATATTTACCATGAGGTACATGAATTGCCCCTAATTTATATTTCAATGCCAGTGGAAAGGAGTACAGGTACATGTGTATTGAGAATGGTGCCCAGGGGAAGGAATATATGTAGAGAGTAGTGCAGCTTGTATGCTGCTTGTCGTTTGTGAACCTTTGTGATACTTCCCTCCAGATGCTCTAACTCTGGAAGTCACCCACGAAGCCTCCCAAGGACACTCCAACTGCCTGCTCCTCCAGCGTGCCCAGTTGCCACAGCAACAGCCAGTGCATTGCTCCCAGGATGACAGCCTTGTGGACGGCTTGAGATACGCCCCAGCGACAGTCATCGAGGAGCTCTGCCACAACCTCATACGGGACTTCAAGACCCAGAGGAAGCGGATACCTCAGACAGTGTCCACGCAGACTGAGATTCCACGGACTCCCGATCGTCAGGTCCGGCCGTATTCCCGCAGCTCCTATGCCCAGACGGGTCTTGCTGATTCCCACAATAGAGAGACCGATACCCAAACAGAAGCGGACTCTGCAGACGAGTTCCAGTCGTCCTCCCTCCAAACCACGAACGGAGCCGAGGTGAAACAGGCCTATCTGGTGAACAGGCCGCCCACGCTGAGCTCAGCAATCCTCCTTCCAGTGGAGGAGGCTTTTTCTCCTGGGGACAGTGCATCCGACCTGAGTGATTCTTTTGTCACCGCTTTCTCATCTCCTGTCAGCTGTTCCCCACTGAGGGGTTCATTCAGGGGCTCATCACTGGAGAGGGACGATTTGTCTGATTTTCTTGCCTCACCATTTTCAAGGTTTGTATTTTTAGTGCATAGATCTCTCTTGCAATATTAGTTTTTTCACATAAGAAGAGATCTTTAAAAGTATCTTTAAAGGTCTGAAAAATCAAATTTGCTTAAATAGTTGCGTTCGATCTCTTTATTTTGCGTGATCATTCATATCTGCATGTTGACCAATGTATATGTTAAGGTGTTAAAACATTGCTGCATGCAGATCTAACACTTGTAATGAACTAGCATTCATTGTGATGTTCATGTATGAAATGCTTCAAATCAGTGCGTTACTGAGGCCATCACTAAATGTACATCTGAATAAAGGTAATTTACAGTGCGCTGCACCACCAAGAGACCGTCATGCTCCAGCTGTGTGTGGGTACAAATAATTCGATGCCATGTGATCAACGATCCACCAATCAGATGACGGGGATTTTAGTAAATACTAACAAATTTAGCCAAAATCCTGAGCAATCAGCAAGAAAAACAATTATCGCAGCACTGCTGTTAGAAAGTAGTTGGCTGCAAAATGTACATTTGGCTAAATACTTGAAATTTGTCAGCCAGAACCTTTCATTTTAAGAAAGGTTTCTGGTCTATAGTCGTAGCCTTTAACCCTGTCTATTCCACTGTTAGTGGAACATCCCGGGTTATATCACACACCTTTAGATCCTGCAACCAGGATTACCTTGGTTATATTACACACCTTTAGATCCTGCAACCAAGATTACCTTGGTTATATTACACACCTTTAGATCCTGCAACCAGGATTACCTTGGCGATGTAAATGTGTACTCAAAAGTATATGCATTTACATTTACAACCAAGAGACAAGCATGTGTGACCTTATTTGTTCCAAAAAGGGCAATTTCAAAGGAAGCCATGCTCAATATTCACTGCCCATTGCTTCGTATTTCCCACAAAGACTGTTAATGAACTCCTCTGCAGAATGTAGGCTGTTAATCACTGGCTAATCCTGCTGACTTTCTCACCATAGGACTAGCTCTTTGGAGAGCCCTCATGCAACACCAGACCAAGAGCCAAGTGACAGTCAAGAGGCCGCGCCTAAGATCCCCGTAGTAAAACCTGACGTTAAGCTTCCGTCCTTGCATAGGGTATGTTGGCTGCTTGTGTAGACAATTGTCGCATGGTCTTGTTGGCTTGTCAGTAGAGTACAAACCCTTATAACATGATAACTGTCAAGTCAGGGAAAAGTCTTATGTAACCTCTGATGTAAAAGTGGGACACATTTGCCGGGCTTCATGAAACCTTGATGCTTGGGAAGAGAGTGAAATATATATTTAAAAATCGATGCATTTTTGTATTTTGTTTAAGAAAAACTGATTAGGATGAAAATAATTACAAAAAATAAAATTCACAGAAGCAAAGCTGGATAGCTTAAATGCTCATTATGCATGGAAAAACAAGGTTTCAGGTTTTTGGAAGCTTAAATAGAAAATCAGTGTTACAACAGCTGACACAGCTAGACCTTTTTGATGACAGTAGGTAAATGCATGAGACTTTAAATACCACATAAATTTTAATTTGTTCTGTGTGCTTAGTGTCCAAAAACCTATGAGCAAACAAAACAAAACAAAACGTTTTACAGCTTTATTTGGGCAGGATCTGGACCCCCAACCTTCCTCTTTACCTGTATTTCTCATGATTGCGGGAATGACTGACCAATATAATGTTCTGTCCACAACATGACAACAAAGCTCATATGTTCCAAGTGTCAAAGATCAGTTGCCTCGCAGGATATGGAAATGGAGTACTTTCCGTTACTGCATGTTTGTACGTGACAAAAGGCCAACCACTTTGGCAAAATGCCAGGGTGGTAGTACTCAAAGGCAGGTCTAGAAACTGTTGAAAGTGCTCATTTTATCAATACATCCCCCCTCCTTTCCTCCTTCCCCAGAAGAGTGCTCAGGACAGACAAGAGGCTGCCCAGAGAATGGCTGACATGCTGGCCAACAGCTATGCAAGACCTAACATAGTGGTGGAAGGATGCCAGGCAGACAGTGAAGACAATGACCTGAATGCTAACTATGACAGGTGGGTGGGTAGGTGTTGACTGTGGACATCCACCAACTCCCAGCAGAGATCTGCTCACAGTCCATGCAGTGGATATTCTGAAGATTGGCTCCGTAATTAGGACGAGTGGCCATTAATTATGAATATGTGTGTAACTTTTAGTGGATAATCTGCTCACAACTGGTCCCTCCAGACTTCATGCTAGATCTTCAGAATTGGCCACTTGCTCTGAATGTTTTTAACGTGAAATATGTCATTTGACGCAATTCAGTTTAATTTAATTCAATACAATAGGCAGTTATTTTGAATTCTCCACTCATTACAAATCAGAGTAATATAAAGTGCAATGTAGTGATATTTTATTTAAGTAAAGAAAAAAGAAGGTACCACCAGCCATAAAGTAATGCAATGAAGCTAATTTAATTAAGATTAATATATAGTTTAATAAGAAAAACAGTAAATTAATAAGAGAGTACAGGCTGTTCATGTAAGCCAAGATTTGTTGGTAGAATAACCTGGACAAATTATACAAACTGTACAATGTAATCACACACACTCTCACAAAAAAACAAGCAAAATAGACACAATCAGACACACAAACAAAAGACAGATGAAGCAACATGAGTAATCATATGATAAGAGAGAGACAAAAAAAAAGCCAACAATGACATTGCACACAGATAGCCAAGGAAATGAGGAGGAAACTTTATGTTGAATAATGAAAGAAAAGCAATTATATAGTAAAGGAGTGAGGGCTATGTTATGTATAGAGGCCTTGCATGGCTGCCATCTTGAGTGGCAGTTCTTTTGTTCCACAGGGAAACCTCCTTTGTGCATACCCTGTGGAACAAAAAACCTGCCCTACAAGATGGTTACCACACAAAGCCTCTACTGGGAGACGAGAAATCATTTGTATAAAGATTTGAATTGATGCAAGGATGGTATTGCCCCGAGGTGTGTTTTGGTGACTCCTAACCAGAAACATGTTTCTGATGTCAAAGCAATAACCAGGAAAGTGTGAAGGGTGGGCGACAAAAACAGGACCAAGAAACGGTTATGTCATCTGACAGAGGCGAGCACAGGGGAGCAGACGACACTATTGATGAACATCCTTTTCACTCAATATTTCACGTGTTTCTCACCAGTGCTGTTCTCTCTTTTCACAAACGTTCTAGAAGAAAGCATCTCTTTGATTCGCTGCATGTGATAACAAGTTTTGAAATGCGTAATTCACTCATTTGAGGATCGACAAAAATTGCCGCCATTTTGAAGCAGTGCTGAACTAACGACCACCTTTGGTTCTTGTTTGGTCGGCACAATGACATCACAGAGGCATAACTAATGTTGCATAAATGCTTAACCAGTGACCAAAGCGGAAACATGTTTATGGTTCGATTCACCAAAACATGCCCCTGATGTTATCAGAATTGGAATTTCACAAACGTGGATTAGTTAAGATTGATGCTGGTGTCTAGGGTGTGAGTAAAGGGAAGAAATATTGCGTGATCTGATTGCATGATCGTGCTTGTGTTGGATAGGTGTGAAATATGCACAGAAGGTGTCAGGAAAGAGGTTGATTGACTCAGTCTGATTTTGCCAACAGACATCAAAGAACTGCATCCCTGTCCAAGAAACCTATTTCAGATCAAGTTGGTTTGCTAAGAATCCTTACTCCACACTTTGTGTACATCTGACAATTGAATTGTTCACATGCAGCTTACTATTCAGCTAGGGTAGCATTACGTCCATGGGATTTGGGGTACCAGTTGCAATATCCCTGTAGAATTCTTGGATCCGATCTTGCCATTGTGTACATAAATTTGCACGCCAATTCACATCCAACCATCACATACATGTATAGCATCCCGATCACAGCATTTGTCAAGAGACTTGTACTATCGATAACATTCTGATGTTAGAGCATTTTACCATAACATTCCGAGGTTACAGCATTACTCACTGTGGCCCTACCCGGTATTTCAACTCTAGATCTGGCAAATACAGCTCCTCTTCTCCCAGGAAGTCATCCCCTGCCCGCCTGAAGAGGCGCTCGTACCTAGACAAGGAGAAAGACAAGAGGACCTCATCGTTGGGTAAATCTGAGCCACAATTGGCCATTGTTGACTCTTGTACCAAGAGCCGTAGGATTTCCACGTAAACAGGACAGGGGTCACTGGATGATGCCACTGTAAAAAAAGTTAAAAGGCACCTTGATCAAACCCACATTTTCCTTTAAAGGCCTGTAATCCACAATGAGTTGTGTCTCCTTTTGTTTGACCGCAGGGTGAGATTTGTTCCTGATTTCAGGATTTTTTCATTATGATTTTCTTGATTTTAGAATTGTTCAAACAATCTCTTTAAAAAGATATGAAAAACCTGAGTTTACCATTGAAGAGTTTTATGTAAAAAATAATAGAATAAAATTGATATAGAACACAGGAAAAAATTGATACCAAAGACCCCATGTCACTGTGAGGCCCTCTAAACCTCCGGTGATTATTTCATGGATATTTCTCCAATCTCACACCTGTAGGCTGGGTCATCACATTCTGTTCACGACCCCTGATGCTGAATGTCTAAAGGCAGTGTGGTTGATTTTTTGTTACCCTCTAGCCTTAGGTCCCTTCAGGGGTCGTGTTCAAAGTTAAATCTGATATCGCTCAGTAAAGTGAGATACTGGTCAGGTCCTGATACCTCTGTTTCACCATCTTGCCGTGAATTTAGTGTCAATATTTTTGGGGGGTATCTCTTCGGGGTCAGATGGCAAGAGCCTGGATGTCTTACTCAGCAGCAATCTGCCTGAGGTGGACATGACAGAGGAGGAGAAGGAATTCAGCCAGCGGCTGCTGGAGGCCTCCAAGAAGGCCTCAGAGAGACACAGGAACCGACGAGGCAGGAAGTTTTCCCCAAGCGCCTCTCCAGGTGAGACAGGTGGATCCTGGGTCCTTCGTATAGGGGGTCAGCTGATTGGCAACAAAAAAAAAAGAAAGAAGAATTTAATAACTCTTTACACAGACTAGAGAGACGCTTTCGTTACCTACAAGAGAGGCTGAAGCACTCATATACAGCACTCCTTGTGTAGTTGAGGGTTAATATTTCTCAGGATTTGTCTAGAGTTACAGATGTTTTACCCCAAAATCCAAGACTTTTAGAGCTTTAATTATGCAAGTTTCACTAGTTTTGGTACAAACAAATTAATTGCACTATTCATGTGTAGAATAATAGCTGCTAGGGAGAGAGTTTGAATGTTTTGTTGACTAATTTACACAAGCCCGGAAAGGTCATGTTTGGAGGCCAATGTATGGAGGGAAATGAAAATCACCCCAAATACAGTCTCAGCAATAACTATAGACCTTTCTTTTGTTAACAAACAGTGACCACCATTTTGAAGGACTCCTCCAAAATGCACAGAAATTGATTTGAATGTATTATTATTTGTTAACCAGGTGATTTGCATTACTGAATCACTCTTCAAACTTAAAAAAATTTGTTCTTAACTTACCAAAACACTTTGGATTTATTGAGAGACTCAAATTCATGTCACAAAAATGATTGCGGCGAATTCACTCAAGTTTAAAATGTGTTCACCTTTTCCGAATTTCAGAATTCAGTCATGAAAGTCGATCTGATGTTACAAATTGCATTCTCGTTCGCACTCATGCCAAGGGAACCTCTTTCACATTCTAGGATTGCCACCGTCAAGGGGCATACATTGTATGTACCATACTTTTTTGCTTACTGAAGGTTCATATGTATTTAGAATTAGGCAATTTATAAAATTCCTAGCAACTGCCTTCACCATTAATACAAAAGAATCGCACAGTTCACCACTGCTGCTTTCTGGTTTGGGGATTTCCAAAGACTGATCTACTTTTCATCCTTTTTTTTTTTTCAATGAAAAAATGACAACATCGGCCATACATGTTGATGACACTTCTTCATATTTCAGGAAGCAAACCTCCTTTGCCTTCCCTTTTGCCCAACAAACTCTTAATTTGGTGCAGATTTGTTTGCTGTTATTATTGATTCCAAATTTCTGTTTTTTATTTAAAAAAATAGCAGATGTTCCAGTTTTGTGTTAACCAGTGTTCTTACTTCAAATTCACGTGTAGAAAAACCCCAAAAAGAAATCTGTTTCTCTTTTGGATTGCTGTCTTTTGGACATGACTTCATTTACATGTACGTGTACCTACTTGAAGCCAGATAAAATTAATTTTATGCTTACATTACCACATGGCTAGATTTTCACACAAGTTGGATTTTTTTGAATGAACATGTGTTTTTTTCCAATAACGCACATTTTGCTGACAAATGTCACCTGAAATTGGCAGTCATGTTGACTTGGCACATGAATACCAGTAGCAATACAATTTGGATTTAGTGCATAATGCTATGTACCGATAGCTACTGTTTCATGCCCATAGTGTTGTAACATGAAGTACCACGTTAATCTGTTATGGCTCCCAACTAATGATGACATCTCATGTATTATCATATTTAATTCATGTTGGAGGCTGTTAAAACATACATGAATAAGGCCATAAAAATCTGTCTAGTGATTCATATTTGGCAATTTTCATGTTTGATACAACCTCCTCTAGGTTTTGTGTTGCAGACCTATCACTCTGGAAAGCCTAAAAGCTAATTGTGGCTGGCTATGCATCACTTCATTTTTCAAAATGTGGAATACCCAGGATTTGGATTGGATTTTTCTTGTGACAGATCAACGATCACTCAGTCCGAGCTCGGCAGACCGATCCCGCTCAGCCTCCCCTGCCCCCTCTCCCAGCCCCATCCCTTCCCCGCTAACAGCAGACGACTCAACCCCACTGTTGGCACCTGCAGAGACACCTGCGAGTTCCGTAGTAGAAGTGACAGACCCTGTGGCAGACAAGGTGACGGAAGGGACGACAGACAGCACTGGAGAGCTTCAGGAGGAGAGAACTGGTGCTGAGGTCAGGATCACTTCCTTTGTTCAACCCTTTTGCAAACATTTTTCATCCTTTCGTTTTTACTCACCTCTTTGAGATCGTAGACTCCAAAGGACTTTATTTTTCTATGGTTTTTCCGTAAAGATTGCTTGTGTTTTTTCGTCCATCCGCCAAGTGCTCTCCAAAGGATGTAAAGTTTATTTTTCTACGGTTTATCAGTAATGATTGTTCGGTTTTTTTTTTCGTCTACCCCCAACACTTCTTGTTGAAAAAAGTGGCTTTGGAACACTCAGAAAAATACACGTACATCAACCCCGGAGGCAAGATTTCTTTAATGAACCTGAGAAACTTGGATTGATGACCTACATGTGCAGTTTGACCTCCAATCATTACAGACTTTGTTCCATATCAGCATATAATTTATGGATGATGTTTTCAACTCAGTGGGGCTTTGCCCTTCAAAAGCAGCAAACTTTTTGTCACATGTTGCCTCACATGTTTCAACCTTTTAAAGGTGTTTTGTGTCATTACCTGTCATGAATGTGTGCTTTCCATCATTTTTCTTAGTATTGGAAGGACTGTTTATGCCCAGTTGGACATGTTGAATGATCTCTGGTCAGCAGGGGGTCTTACTTGAAAGACTGCTGAGCAGTATCCAATTACAGATGGAGAGCGAAAATTTAAGGGAACAAAGGAGAAAAAACGAAAAGAAAGTAAAGTAAATTATCTCTCACAATGTCAGGTAGCTTGAAACCTGATCTCAGTAGCCAATATTACAGAAAGTGATATTTATAGCAATGCAGGCTAACTGTATGGTACAGAGATCATGTAGGTCGTGACCTTAAATGACCTCAGACAACCAAAACCAGTGAAAGAGGCGTGGTCTCTTTTTTTTTGCACAACCTTGCATTTTGATTATGTGTCTAAGCACATCTATGTTACAGTTTTACTGTCATGTTTTTGTGGTGTGTGCACGTGTGTGTTCTCCCCCCATGGAGGTGAAATCGGTTCTCAATTGCTAGGAATATTTCTGTGGAACACTATTGGTCATCTGTTTTGTTCTTGAACTTCCATGGAGGCACAGTTATAATAGGAATTTGTGAGTGAAACGATTTTGGATTAAAGTAGTTTGTGAAGCAGAAAACAAGTGATTTCAGCAGGATTGCAAGGCACATCTGTTGATTTAAAAAGGCTTGGCCACTGCGTTTGAAACTTGTAACAACACCTGTGTTTATGAATTATGTCTGTTGTCTAAATTTAACCAGTGCAATCCACTGAAGCTCCAAAAGCATGAAGTATGTAATCGCAACAAGGTTAATGTGTGTACAAGTAAGAAGATGGAGCTTCTTTGTTATTTTTAATTATCCACATGCACTGGATACACACTCATTGATTGTTGCGAAGATTCAATATTTTGAAAGTGTGAATACTCACGACCCTCTTTCATTTGACGTAATTCAGATTGACACAGTGGTCTTGTAATGATGAAATAAATTTCTTCATTATGTATTGCATGTACAGTCATTTGCTAAAGGTTAAGACCCCCTGGAAGTTTGTTGGTATTTCTGTCACTAGTCCTACATTATTACATTTCTTGCATGAATTTTGTTGCAAAGGCAGGTCTTGTATGACATAATTATTGTCTGTAAGGCAGCATGGCATAAGAAAGCTACTAGTCTAAGTACACTATACTAAATATTAGACTGTTAACATTTCAATGGAAATGTAATCAAATACCTGCTTAACCAAGATGCTAAGGTTACGCATTGAAAATAAGCATAAGTTGCCATGATTGATTGGTTTTAGTTTGGGTTTTCTTCAGGTTAATGCATTTTGTATGGTTGGTCCTAAACTTTTGCAAATAACTGTATTAATTAACGTACTTCCACGTATCATCCATCACTGTGTCGAATACAAGAGTACTTCAAGGAGCAGTAAAGAAATTTTTGGAGGAGCAGGTTACATGTAAACCTGTTCATTTCTTTGAATATCAGTCACATTTTGCTTAAAGTGGTAATCACCAGTTGTTTTGTATCATGGTAATGTTGGTATCCCTAAAAATGTCACTTGATAAAAATAGCCTTTAAGTTCAACATGAAGGACACAGGTTCTTTAGTTTACAAATGGTCCCTGTAGCTGCATTGTTCCGACCTGAAACTAATACCCAGAGAAAAGGATTGACTGGCCTTTGTTGAACAGTAAACAGTTTGCTCCGTTCCAAATTGGGAAGGTGCTTAAGTTTCTTCAGCAGTGACTTGGCATTGAACTGTAACTCGAACTCTGGAATTTGTCAACTGTACAGGAAAGACCGATGAGGAAAGCTGACCCTGAAGTTTTTGGGGAAAAAAGTGGATTTGATTCTTAAAACTGATGCAAAGAATTGGTGACCGACTCATAGAGACTTGCATTTGAGCAGGTTATTAAGACTGTTTCTGGTTTATATGCATGTACAGTGTATGTCATTTGGAAGTTGTTCCAGGCATAGTGGTCCAGCTTTTGTATGCTTATAATGTACTTTAAATATTGCTTTGAGGATTTGCTTTTAGTCACAGGTAAGTACATGTATTTGATTTGAATTTGCAATGTTCTAGCAACTTGACACGGAATTGACAAAAGATTTTATGTAGAATCATGTGCACAATCTTAATTGAGCTGTTTGAAAGGTTGGGTGAAGTGCACTTTTGAGATATCTGTGCGTGCCTGGCTGTCTGATTAGCCTTTTATGCTTGAAATGACAACATCGAGGTACACTCCCTCAGGAACTGAGATTGTTACGTGTTATACCGTAAATATCTTCTTTTCAAGTTTTATTACTTTAGGGTAAAACTGGCAAAGAATCGGAATCACCCACAGCTTGTTACTTTTCACAGTTTTGGTGAACGTGAAAACCAGAACTTTGCCTTATAAGATACATGTACGTGGGTAGACACTAGAGGATTCAGGAACACCATGGTGACTTCGTAAACTACGACAGTTTGTAAACTATTGTAGGATCAGTTTGGAGGGTTGGGCCAAAGAAAATAATTCAGTGCTGTTCCTGAGGCTGCCGATTTTAGCCTGGAAATATCTTTGAAGCTAAAACAGCTTTAACTGAAAACTCTGAACACTCTCATAATTCTCAAGACTAACCTGGTTTCTCAACTTGTTGGGCATGCCAGGGCGAATCGGATAAGGAGGACAACAAGCTGACACCCAAGTCAGAGAGGAAGGACTCGGAAGTGGAAGTCTTTGACATCAAGGCAGACATCCTGAAAGCCACCGCTTCCCTGCAGGTAGAGATGCCTCAAGTCAAGCCCATCGTTCCACTGGCCCAGCTCCGAGAGGTAACGTACATGTGCTGTTCTAAAGCATTCTTATTTTCAGTATCATTCCACATTTCATTCCCTTCCCGCATGTGACATCGTCTAGGATGCACATTGCTTTGAGACCTTTCAGTTCAACTGCCTAGCCTTCCACAGAAAGGTCACATATACTTCCACTTTGAGAACTGATTGAATGACCCGTAATACATCTGGTTCAGATTTGTAATTGAAATTTATACATAAGACCTGAAATCCACAGTGTGTAAAGAATATACAAGTATATGCTGGATTTTGGGTAATCATGTGGCTATCAGAGAATCGTGCATGCTAGTTATTAGAAGATCTCGTTTGTGTTGTGACGAAAAACAGATCTCTGAATTACCGGTAATTTAAGGAATATTCAAAACATGAACCCCTTCTAGCTTCAGCAGCAAACAGCTGCTGTAGCCTGCATGGATTTTTCTGTTTTCATGTTAGCTTGTTAGAGGGATGAACTGACAATGACTGTGGAATTGAAACTCTCAGGATTTCCTATCGAACAAGAGCTTTTTGGCCTACCTTAATATATTTATGCAGTAATTTTTCCTGCAGTTTACACTGAGAAAAAAAATCAATAAGACTCAGTGGGTATTTGAACCCACTGTCTCTCTTTTAAGTGCTTTGAACACACTGGACCATTGGCTTTGCTATCAGGATGGGCGGAGTGACAAAGCACTGTACACAAACCGTTAAGAGTTTCACAAGAAATGAATATCCAGTTTCATACATGAATAATTCGATTCATTTGTCGAGTGGGTTTACTTCTGTCCTGATTCTACTAGTTCATTTCCTTTCACCCTCTCTGAGGATCTGTCAGATTCCACAAAAGCATCACACTAATGTTTAAAAGAACTCCGCAATTTGATTAAAAAAAAATCGGTCAACATCCTAAATTGGCATTTTCCGTGTCTAAGGGATGAGTTTAATATGACAATATTGCACGCTCGTAGATGTACCCTTCATGTGCAGCTGCAACTCGGAGTCGATTGTAAAAACACGTACATGTAAAAAGCATTGTTAAGTACCAGCACAGTTTGTCTTACTCAATTAAAAGACAACATTTTGAACCTCAACTGAAATGTCAGATGTGAAGGAGATTAATGTACTGTGTGTACAGTCACAGTTGTTGTTTTTTAATTCCGTTCAGATGGAAATTTGTTAAAATGAAAAATCCATTAAGCCTTGGCAGCAAAGACAATAAAGGATTTCATTACAGTGTGAAAATTGTTAGTTCTTGGTGTGCATATTAGGCAGTTTGTTCGTTGAACTGGTCAATGCACTATCACTGTGAGATATATATGTAACGATGTATTTGTAGTTTTCCGCTTGCAATCTTATCACAAATTTCAGAACAACTTCAGTGAATGAAATCCAAATAGGTGCAACATGGCATTGGTTGGACTTGAGCTCCAAAACGCGACACACTTCAGTATCCATTATTGTTAATGGTACAAATCTTTTTAGCATCATCTGCCATCAAGATGGTTTTTCTGCTCTGAAGTTTGTCTGAATAATCTACATCGTTCGGAGAAATAAAGGCTTCAGTCGTTCTAAAAACGACTGTTCAAATTGATTTCCCCCGCAAAGGAATCCTTCCCAGTCCCCTTCCCACCAAGAATTTGCTGGTCTTGGTTTCTTTAGAGTGTTGACACTTCCCCCCACACACACACACAAAATAAACATTTGGCCATGTTCTTTGGAAGAGTACATGTACTTCTTCCCCCACCAGATATAGACTACTGGTCAAGTACAGTTCTGCTGTGATTAATGGAAAAGATTATTGTTATTCTTTTCAAGTATTACGAGCACATATTTTATGTGCTCAATTTTTTTCCTGTTACAGTTTATCAGCACATGTGGATAGGAGTTTGTGTTCTTGTTTGTTTTTAATGCTTGCAGTGAGTTTAGATTGTGCGTGTGACTTTTGGTTTGTTGTACATATGTGGTGCTCTCCTTAGCAAAAAGTTTTTGTAATAGATTCTGATCCGTTGGACATTTAGGAAATCCTTGCACTGATTTTGTGGAGGCAGGTGTTGTCTTTGTTGAAAAGAGTTATGCGTCCATTTTGAAAGAAAACAATCTGTGAAATGGCTGTGAAGAAATCAAATTCTGAGGCAGTAATTATAAATTATGGCAGAGGATTGTTATCTGGCTTTTTTTTTTTTATCAGCAAGCAAATACAGCAGGTAAGTGGCTGGCTCATTTGCCCCGAGTCAACAGATAGTGAAGTGAAACAGTAGAACACACTGTGATAATGTGTGGATCGTTCGGAAGCTGTGTACACGTCAGTACAACCCACCGCTCCCGCATGGGCAGGTTGAGTTTAAGGACTGTCGTTGCTCCACCAGTGGATGTGGGTGAATCGGGACCCGGCTTTTAAAATTCCTCCGCCTCTTAGAGCCGTCCGCCGAGAGTGAATGCTCAGCTTGGGCTCTTCACGCTGCCGTTGTTGGTTCAGCAGACTTAGGGGACATAAATGCAGCTGGAATCGGGACCGTATATGGCCCTTGCGTGTGCAATGGGTAACAGTCGATACACACAGTCAATGTTTTACGATTTGACCTCATGAACACCTCCCCGCGTGATCTTGATCTTGATATTGGGCCATGCACTTACTACGTGCTCTAGCAGAAAAGGTTGGCCTTGTGGTTCACTCACTGACTAAACCATGCCTGTGATACTCCACAACGGGCCGTCAGACGGCTGCACGTTGATCAGGCTCTCTGTGTATGACGGCAATGACTGTCGTGAAGAAAATACAGAGGGGGAAGGAGATGAAGGAAATGAGGTAAGGTGCGGCAAATCAGAGAAGCAGGCAATTAATGGAGAGGAGGGAGTCAGGTGAGATCCAGCAGTTGATTGGCAATGAAACAACTGCTGAGAGAATGTGACTTGGATTTGACAGGAGTTTGGGAGATTTGTATGTCGTTTACTGTTGAATTAGGTCAGTGAAGAACTGTTCATTCTGTAGGTCTTTTTTTAGTTGAAATGCTGATTGTCGGTATTTTTCAGTAGTTTGCCAATTTCAACAAGTGCTTGTATTTATATTTGTACTCTATTCTGGTGCCTCCTCTCTATCTCTCATTACTCTGCACCCACCCCTCCTCCCCCCCCCTTTCATTTCCAGGAGCACAAGCAGCACCGAAAAACCAACTTGCAGTTCACGATGCCCGAGCTGACGGAAGCGACGGAGCTAGACCAGGGCCGCGAAATGATCACCCCATCTGCCATCCCACCTGTGGCGGCCTCACTGACCACATTGCATCCCACCCCCGTTCCGGGGTCCCCTGGTCCAGAGACCCCGCACAAATCGAGGGAAGACTCTACCACTGTCGGCAAGGAAGAGGAGGGAAAGGATGCAGAGAGATCGTCAGCTTCGTCAGATGAGAAATCCCTGATTCCAGATTCAGTTCTCCAAAAATTGGGCCTTAAGGGTGCTTATTCCAAAGAGTGAGTAAAGGTCACCTTAAATTGGTTTTCTGTTTTGAGTTTTCCACAGAGGATGTTTCCTTTCCCCTTTCAGAAATCGCATTTAAACTTCTATTTGGTAATTCTACAACTTAGGGGTCCAATGTTTTTTTTGTGTCCCTGTTACATCTGACATCTGATTTTGTAAGTTCAGAAAGAATTCTCTACTTTCCAAAGAGTGATGAATTCATGCAAACTACCTGCCAAACAATTAGAAATAGTTTGATATCAATTTCAGTGATATGTCCACGTCAAATTACACAGCTCTGGTGCAACAGGGGATACTAAAATGTCACACTGTTGGACCCTGAATTTATACAATGACTTTATTACAATTTACATTTTTGGTAGTTATCATCAGAAAGTGACAGATGAAATGGATTGGCTTTATTTAACTACCACAAAATAAATATATTTGCAAAACTTATTATTATTTTTTTATTTTCCCTTTCCCGACGTGTATTTAACATTGTATACTCCGGAAGCTTGTGAAAAAAAACCTACTAGCGTACTTGGGTGGGACTCGAACCCACGACTTCCTGCTCACTAGTAGCCGTGTGCACTAGTAAGCAGGACGTTGTGGGCTTGAGTCCCACCCGAGTACGCTTGTGGGTTTTTTTTTCACAAGCTTTCGGGGGCACACTGAGTATACAGTGTTCAATACACGTCGGGAAAGGGAAAATCCAAAAATTAATTAACATCTCCCTGGCGCAAATCCATCTTTGAAATAAATATTTGCAAAACTTATCGCATTAGTAGTCACTGAATGCTTAAAACCCAGCTAAATTTGTAGAATTTATAATTCTCCCATCTCTATCCAGGAACCTAAAAGCAGTGTAGTCTCAAGGTATTAATTAAAATAATCAATTTCACGTCTATCTCTCAATCCATATTCACATGTAGGGAGATGAGTTAAATGAAAACCAAGAATTAAAAGTGCTTACCACATGCATTGACTTTGCTGTAGAAGTCTGGCATTGTTTTAATTGAATAATTATTAATAGAAAGTAGCAGTAACGATCATTGTAGGAGACAGAAAAGGTACAAATTAAAACCAAATTGCTGTTAAAAAAGGGCCAAATTCTGGTGCGTCATAATTAACTGCATTTTATTTTATAGCCCAATAATTCTCAAACTAATGACCAGTAAAAGCTGTTGATGACATGAGTCCATGTGAACAATACACCTGACGCCAGAGTTCTCCTTTGTCAATCCTTGGACCTTGCTTGGCTGTCCTTTGACAAATCATTATGCGATAAAAGTATGCAAAACTGGATGATGCCTACATGTATATGCGCTGTGAATTTGCAGCACACACAATATGTATCCGACAGATGTTTCTGAAATAAATTTATTGTATATCTGTAAATCATTTAACTAACTGCACAAATTGCACATTGCATTATTACCGGGATGATGATTGTTTTTTAATGTTAAATTTGCCGTCTTTGTCATGTTTAGATACTGATATATTCAAGTACTTTGTTCATTTGTTTGGAACGTTTTTAGTGCTTGCTTTTTCATCAGCACAGTTATTTGTATATATATATAGAGAGACTTCATTGTAAAGGGATAGGCTTTTGTAAAAAGACACACATTGTAAAGTTAGCCTCTGAGATGGAGTCAGTCGAAGCGAATCAAGTCAGAGTGTCACCATGCAGTAGTGTCTCAAATGTGGCATCGCTCAGAGGTGATCCACCTGCTTCGACTAGATTTTTTGTTCTACTGTAGATTCACATGCCCCAGTATTGACTTGTCCAACTGTTATAATTAGACAGAAATGATGCACATGGTGTATACAACTTGCCAAAGTGCTTACACACTTCAAACTTGACAAACTCGGTGTGTATTTGACAGGCCAACAACATTTATTAAAAATGTATTAAGGAGGGGCCTTTTGTATTATCTACTTTGTACCCTTGCCGGCAATTCAAAGTATTGTGAAAAACCTATTCAGTTTTTATAGACGTGTAACATGCCAGGTCTTGCTGAGGAATATGGGATGTTCCTGTATTCATGCCATGGCGAGAGCTTTTTTTCTTTTAAACCAATTTTACTGGGACTTTAAGCATTTTGGGGGGATTCTTATTTGTCCGTTTGTTCCTAATTCGTATCCAGCATCAACGCCATGACGGAGAATGAAGTGGAGGAGAAGTTCAACTGCCTGCAGATGGCATTCAAGGCCAGCCAGTACACGCTGGAGCAGCGGGTGGTGCTGCAGCACCGGCAGAGGGACCTTGCCGAGAAGAACATCGAGAAGGAGATCGAGGGGCTGCTGCAGACCCTGCAGGTGCCGTTCACTTTCTCCCTTTGAGCTTGGGGGCTTCCTGACTTGCTGCAGGCTGTGGAGGGGCTCTGCCCATTTCCATCACGGGTTTGAGTTTTTGCAAGAATTTTTTCTGGATTGCCAGATGTTTGTCTAAAAAATTATGGATTTAAGGGGTGTAGTGGTTTAGGTTTCACTACCTATTTGCAATATGTCCATTAAACCAAGTGCAAGATTCTCATCTTCTTAGCCATTTGTAGGAGAACTTGTGCCTTGTAAGTTGTTCAAAGCCTGAAATGTTATAGGATTTTATTGTTGTCATTGATAAGATGCGTCCACTGGATCTTTAAATTTTTGATATATTTTCTACTGATGACCCTTTTTACAGATGTTGGAGCCTCTTGGAAGTGTGGACACAGTGTCCAGGGACTACATCGGCAAAATCAAGCAGCATGTTGAAGTCTTACAATCCTGCTCACTCCGACTATCCAGCAAGGCCGAGGGATTTGGTGCTGTCCAGCAGGTATGTCTTGCAAGGCTTTTTACCATTTTTTTTGGTCTTTCAGCATTTCTTGTGAAACCAAGGATTCCTCAAAAGCGCTTTAGGCACCGTAGTTCATATGCCTGCAGAGTCCTGTTGATAGGAGACGGTCACTGAGAATCAGTTACTGGTTTAAAGGGGGTGTGAAAAATCCCGAAAGACTGTTTGGGGTAAAGCACACGCAGTCAGCTCGGGACTGAAAACCCTATCGTCATGTGGACCAAACCAGGAACTGAACCCATTCTGCAGAGCTGATTGGCGAGGAAATAAACCACTTTGCTCACAAGCTGTGAAGTTTTGAAAGATAAACAGTGAAAAAATGTTACTATTTCACATGAAGTAATTGTTTGCCACGAAAGCTTATGCAAGTTGTTGTCATTGTTAGTCATGGAAGTGGTATATATGTTTTCTATACACATCTCCGACGGATTTATTTTTCGGAGTTTTTTATCCGCTTTTGTCTCTACTTAACACTTCAACAAGTGTGTTGGGATAAAGACACAGTGGAGCTTTGAGGTAAAAAGGCTTTGAATTTAATCAGAAGGCTACTGGCTTTATTGTAGTTGGTTGTGGGAACCACTAGCTTCAAACTAGTTATTATTTCGGCATGCTTTTGATGGATGAGATTTCGTAGACAAGCTTTGCTTAGCTTTCCAAACCTTTCTTTACCTTGTTTTCAGGAGGGAAGGCTCAGTAAAGCAACCGATGTAATGATCACCCATGTGGAGAACCTGAAACGTCTGTTTGAACGAGAGCATGCAGAACTAGAAGATGCAAGGTACACGACAAAGCTATTTGGCAACGTAAATCCAAACTCAGCCAGCCCCTTACATTGGTGCAGATTCAATCTGCCACTTTGATCCACACTGATGTAATTATGCTGTTATCAAACCAGAGTCTGGGGGAAAGTACCCCAAGGTTCTCATCGGGGCATTGGGTTTTCTGAACCCTCTCTAGACAGATGTTGAGCTCAAATTTTACCTCCTCCAGTTTTTGTGATTTTTACGATTGCAGACTTTAGGACTGTATGTCGGAATGGGAAGTCATGAGGCAGTGTGAGGGCAATGCATAAATAATAGAATCGCCGTCATCCAGATTCAGTTACTGTTCAACCACATGTCACTCCTAATCAGTTTCAAGGTGGACGCTATTCAAATGTCCTCCATTTGACTCTTTGGCATTTCTGTGCACCTTTCTTATTTGTAGACGGACTTGTGCTTTGACTTGTGATTGAGTTATGATCGACTTCTGATAGACATATGACTTGTGATTGACTTATGATTGACTTGTGATTGGCTTGGGATTGACTTGTGATCAATTTGTGATAAACTGAGGAATGGTCATAAATTAACTGCCAGACTTGATCAGACAAAATGTACCAGATGTCTGGCTCTCTTCCCTTGTTCTTCATCATGACTATATGTTTGTTTGAAACCTTGCAGGAAACTTCTCCAAGAAAATCGCAAGCTGTTCCGAGGCAACAGCATAACAAATAATCTCTCCATAGACGGTAAGAAGTTGCCTGTTTATACAGTGGTTTTTGCATGCATAGATACATGTACAGACATGTTCTGTCGGGATTCAGTGAAACCTGTTCCAAGGGATTTGGGAGGAGAGTGATTTTTCATTTTTTGTGCTGTCAAATTTGGGGAAAAGGGAAACTCTTCAGAACTAATTATTTTGTTTGATGCCTTGTGGGTGTTTTGTGGAGGCAGATCCCTCATTACTTGTACCTTGTGGAAAAAAATTGATACAGCACGCAGCTCCAAGTTGCATTCATTTGTTTAGAAATGAAAGATACTTTGAACGGAAATGAATTAACTGTAACCTTTTGTGTACTCCTCCTCTCTGTACACTCCATTCTGTTGTGGTGATGTTTGCATTTTCTGCTTGTCTGGGTTGGTCTACTGTGTGGTGAGTTGGCATTGTGACTTAAAGAGTGGCTGATTGTGGCAAACGATTTCTCAACATGATTCACTGCTGTTTCACAGTTGGTAAGATAGATTGACAGAAAATATATCCAGTTGGTAAGCCCCTTGTTGGTAACAAGGCATTGGCAGACAAGAATCGTAAATATCAGAAACGAGTTTCTGGTTTGGGCGAAGTTTCCTCTGCAGACTTCCTTTTTTTTGGTTTTGGTGCAGTTGTGCTAAGACTTGATTTTGCTACGTGTTATATGTTTTGTAGTGAAATCATGTTGAGAGATCTGTGGCTTGTTAAGAGACCTTTGCTCAACTTCCCAATCCCCAGCATGTTTCCTCTGATCTTTCTTAATTTTGCTAGAAGTAGACAGTGAGGTGTGTGAATTGTTTATAGATATTTTGCTTATGGAATTGGAAACTTACCTCACTGCAGCTTGGATAACTTCACTTTGAATGAGTTTCAAATACTAGGGAATGGTGTCAAGGCAAACGCATCATTAAATTTAGACTAACCCCAAAGTCTTGCAGCTTGATGTTATCCCTATTCTGCACGGCATGATTAACCTCTGCTCATTTGAATGGTGGTTGGTCTTTTGAATTTCATTAACCCACTGCTTACTCTGTATTTCATTTATTTACTTGTTTTCTTCCTAGAGCTTAAGTTGTTATTTTAAGTTCAAAGTTCCTTTCAGGGGCAGTGTTCTTTGCATTGATGATTTGTCATTCTTTTCCTCGTTTTTTTATTACTTTAAGAGTTACACTGATAGCAGACAATTGCCTTATCAGTGGATTGAATCGTTAATTTGGATCTTTCTTTTTAAATTTCTGTTTGTATGCTTTTTATTGGCTAGAAAAAGTGATGATTTAGAGAGAACCAGAAGTAACGAAGAAGTACCTAGTTAAAGGGAAATGAACCTTTATCAAACTGAGACAAGTAACTCTGCAGTTGCTGGTGCTAACATTTCTCTCTGTTGTCATAGTGCCACACCGTCTGCTTACTCACAAGTGGGAAAACTTCTTTAAACTTATTTATTTTATATATTTTTTTGAAAATGCCGCTGGCTTTAGTTTTCTTAAAGACTTTGGTTCAGTGAAATCCCACCCTCTGATCTGAATTTTGAATGATGGATAAATCGGATCTTCTGTCTGGTGTTTATCTTTTGTTTTGCTGAGAGTTCAAGTTTAAAGTCACAGTTCACATTTTTCGTGTTGTTTTCAAGCATAGTACCTTTATCTGAAGAAATCATGTCAGAAAACAGGTTAAATCATAATTTTTTCATTTGCAGTAGGAGATTAAAATGATAATTTTTCTATTCTATCTGTTGCCTTAAAAAACTTGCATCTACATGAAGGCAAGAAGCAAAAGCATTCATGAGCATAGTGGAAATGGGCTTACTAACAATTTGAGGACGATTTGAAATGGCAGCTCAGAATTTGAGATTTTGAAGAAACCGACAAAGAATTTCTCAATGGAATTTTGAATCCTTGCCGTTGGTTGCTCAACAGTTGCTATAACCCTCTGTTTTCTGTTTGGTTCTACCCACAGGGGAGCCAGATTCCAAGCTACTGAGTCGGAGGGCACTGTCGATGTCCGGCAGCAGCTCTAAGGTAAGACTGCACGTGCGACAAAGTAAAGTGGGTCCTGTAATCACTCCTGCCCGGGTCATTTCTGCTGTGCAAGAATTGTCACAGATTTTAAATTACGAGCAGCAGGTTATTGCACGGAATGCTGTCAGTATATGAGAACGTTGATCATGATGATTGCAGCCTTTGAAAAGTTCCTGATCCCTCGGCAAGTCAGCGAGGGGAAGATTGTGAGTGTATTCTGTTCGGTTGTGCAGTTGATTTGGATGCGTTTTGCCAAGTTTCAGACGTTGACAGATGACATGCAGTGATACATTGTGAAATGACGCGGCAGGAGCAAATTGAATCAGGAATCTAACCCCGGGAAATTTCAGTGGTTTGTGCTTTGGTTTATAAAAAAAAGTGGTGTGCTCTTTGGAGTTATTTCAGTTCCATTTTTCTGGTATTGGGTTGCGCATAAATGTTTACAAACATCAAGAAAGCATTGGGCTCTTGTTGGAGGTGTATTAAATATTTTATATTTAGCCTTGCATGATAGTTCAAAGGTTTGGCTGATTTCCTCAAAAATCTGTCTCGGATGATCCAATCCAAACAATGCTTGAACAGTACTTACAGAGGTGTATGATATCTTCCAGCTTTGCCCCACTTTGCTAGAATTACTTGTTGCAGTTCAAATGTAAGTGCCTGTTTGCGGAGACACATGGAAATTTGTTGAAAAGAAAGTTTGACCAATTTGTAGGAGAAAAACTTCATCTTGAAAATGTCACTTGTGTGTCACCAATTTCAGCCAAACCTCTCACTCTGGAATCAATCGTCCATGTTTTACACAATTGTTCATTTTCATTCACAGTCCACCCTTCATTTAAATGTGGAGCACCCAGAATGCCACTCGCATGTGTTTATGCCAAGACTGAAATGTGTTTCATTTATATCCCGACCCCCCCTTGGCCCGTCATCTGTCGCCAGAAACCCACCAGCCTGTTTCAGCTGGCCAAAATGCTAACCAACCCCAACAAGAATGCGTCCGGTCAGGAACCAACCAAAGGGAAACCAGTGGTTACCACCCAAATCTGCCATCAGGTCTTGACAAGTTGACAACACAGTGCACACAAAACAAATTACCTGTGGTCATCATGTCATTGTAGCTGTATTCAAATGTGTTGTCTACCTAATCCAGGCACAAAGGTCAAACCTGACATCTGAAAATTAAATCAGTGCATTATTTCCTTCTCAGGGAGTGAATTGGGTGCATGTATATCTTCCAAATTAAAGATTTGCCAATGCAACTTTTTTTTCACAGTAAAGCTAAAATGAAGGTTGAGAAATGAACCAGTGTCATTGGGTTACACTTCTGTGCGGATTTTGCAGTACGAATCATTGCCACAGAATTGTGTCTTTGCAAGACCCCTTTTTCTCAGACCTCTTTTTCTCCTACCTGCAAATTGTTACCCAGAGTAGAAAAAAATTCACGTCAAGGTCATGTTTTTTTCTCAAAATGAGGCCACTCTCTCCTAACAAGGGTGGAAATATTCCACACTAAGCTTACTTGCCAGAAAACTACGGCAAGGGAAGATTTTGGCCACATCCCCACAAAACCTTGGTGTGTTCTCTGTGGAGACCACCTCTCCAGGATGATTTCTTTTGTGTGCCCTCCTACCATTGCCATCAACTTCAACACTCCCTCATATTGGACCTCGTTAAATGTCTGGCTAAGCCTCATGGTGTAGATTCCTGAAGTTTTAACACTGTTTTTGCACTGCTAAAAAGATTCCAAGTTTGTGCCGTTTTGCCTGGATGCAGTCACCTAAACCCAAGTTCCACCAACCCATCCATCCTTTACACTCCAAAAAGTTTCTATTTTCAAGTTTGCATGGGAAGATTCAGCTCCTTTCTATCTGCTTATACCTGTTTTATCCTTAACCTGCCCCATTCAACAATATTTGTGTATTGACAAATATCTTGTTTTGTATTAATTTTCTGATTTGGAATGTGTAACATGGCTTATTGTGCACTTCATATGTGATTATGTGTCCCCTTTCAAATGTAATATTCCCAATGAGTTATTTTACAGGTGACCATGTGAAATTTGTGGCTTCAAAGTCATAACTTTTGCTTTGCTTTCTCTGTCTCTGTTGAATGTACAATAGATCATGTTTCCTATTTGCATTCAGTAGTTTGCATATGTATCAGTCTCTGTGCATTTACATGTTTATCCTTCCATTCATTGTTGCTTTTGGTCATTGTCGGTGAAATGTTTTTTTCTGGAAAACACAGTCATATGGTCATTGTGAAATCCGTAAGCGCTCCACCAGCTGCTCGCTGTTACCCCGCCTCGGGTCGCCGTACTCGTACAGCCCCGAACTCACTGACCAGAATCAGGTAATGACTAAGAGAGAGGGTCCGTGCAGGCTTGCTCACAAGCCGGTGGTGGTGGTAGGAAGATGTAATTTCACTCAGCAATATCAGCAATTTCGTTGAAATGCAGTGTGGGGCACAAGTTCGGCTTTGATTTTCCCCTGCCTTGCTTAGCCAATATGTTATTATATTTCAACTTTTCCAGGTTCCTACAACAGACACATTCCCCTGTATTTCTTGCTGTGTTGATTTTCCAAATGTAAAAGTTCTTGTACATTTAGGCTCTGTACACCTGTCATACCTGTAGGCTCTGTACATCTGTCATACCTATTCTTTTGTCATGGCCTTCTTTTTTTGTTAATTTCTTTCTCTGAATGCTCCTAATATTTCAAATGAAAAAAGTCACATATCTTCCGAGGCCCACAATCACTCTTCAATTTTGTTTCATTTTGTGGCGTCTGAACATTACTAAACAAAATTCCTGCAAGCTCTAAAATTTGCTTCTTGGGTTGCCAGGCAGGTTTGCACAAAACAACAGTCTGCCTACATGTATATCAAGCTGTGATTCATCATGAGAATCCATTCAGTCATTCGTCTTGTTTGTTGAACTTTATACTAAAGTTGTTCAGGCAGCCATTGTTGTTTGTGGAGAACGATTCCTTCTGTACACTATTAAAGTTAAATAAAGTAGAGCTAAATATAGGCTAATTCACAGAATAAGTGGTTGTTGTCTTTGAGCCCATGTCAGCAAATGGATTGTGTTCTGGAGTTCATTGTTAAGTGTCATGTGCAGATAAATCATGTAAGTTTGTCAGGAAACCCAGGAAATTTACTCCATACAATTCATACTCAGAATGTGTAGTTGTACTCACTCCTAATCACATTCTCAGCCACAGTAGATTCTTTACCACAGTGAAGAAACAAGATGCTTTTGTATGACGTTAGAGGAAGAGAGGATATAATTTTGCATTAAAATGACGCCCTCACCGACAAATTCATGACCAGGAATTCTATAGTGTCACTCCTTAGTCCTTAGCTAGTGATGCCCGTCCCCGCCATTTGGTAGGGAAGGGGTGTGCTGTGAGAGGAAGAGGTTATTAGTTAGCTCTCTGGAATATAGGGTCATCTGTGGTAATTGTGTCTGATACAGCTTCCTACCCACTTTCAAACTGTCTGTCAACCTCATCGCGGTCAAGCATAAAACTCCATCTCTTTAAAATCATTCATCAGCTCAATGCTTGTTCCATCATCACCGACATCAACAGCATTTGTTTTGTGACTGAACGTCCTCCGCCAGTGTATTCACAGTCAGTAATGCATGCATGCTGGCCCGCATCGCTCTGCATGGTCTGTATAACGTACCCGGGAAGTCTTACACCTTGCCGTTGTGTCTTCCTCTGATTGACCTAGACCGGAAGACGGCGAGCGAGCGTGGCTACGGTGGTTGGATCTGGCTTGCTTAGCTCCTCGTATGGTTCACAGGTGAAGTTAGTGCACAGTAACCAGCATGCCCTGCCCAAATATCTGCAATTATGGTAACACTCTTTAACTAACAGCACACAGTATATATACCAGGAATGACATCGCAAGGGTTCTTTGTGGTTTGTAGGAGTTGGTTCTGCCTCTCTGTTGTCGGGTCTTCCAGAACGTGCTTGTTGATCCACTGTTTTGTCTTGCCCTCTCCTTCTTGTTTGTTGGTGTCTTGTTTTAGGTGTTTGTCTGTCTGGTTTTTCTTCCTGCTATAAGCAATATATGCAAATGCAGTGTTGCTTAATTTTAAACAGTGGCTTATAATGTAATTGTATGAGGTGATTTATACGCAGTGGTGATTTTTCTTTCCATTTTTTTATTTGCAGAGCTAACCTTGTGTCTTTTACTCTAGTGTACTCTTGTTACCAATCCAAATAAGTCATTTGTTCCACTTCTTTTTTTTTATTTATGTAAAAAAACTGTTTTTTTTTGTAATCACATTCAGTTTGAAGAAAAATTGTTCAGAGGCCTTTGATTTGAAGTTCTTTTCTGTGTAAATAGCAGAACCGAGTTTTCATCTTACAATTTTTGGCACAGACTGTAAGCAGACAAGCTTTCAAAATTTATGTCTGCTCAACTTTTCATTTGATTGCAACCTGGTTGGACCCATCGAGATAGGGAGGTGCCAGCAAAACTAACCTTTTCTCTGTTCTCACTGAAATCAATTGTTTTGGGTGTCAACTTGTTTGACGTGCCAGCAGTAAGGAAGAAATGGTGTGTCTGCTGCAAGCTAGCAAAGTCTTGAATGACAGTCATACCAAATACATGTATGTTTATTTTCCTTTTTCTTCCTTGCCCCTTTCCACTTACCTGTTCTATTATTTCCCTGTTCTCCCATTTATCTCTTCTTCCTCTTTACGGTTTGTTTTGCTCCTCTTAATTTTTTTATCCACATTTCCTGTGCTGTTCTCACTCATTCCTTTTTTTCCCTTCTCCCTTACTGGCTTTCTCTGTCTTGATCCTTTCCTCGCCCACCTCCCTTACCTGCTAACTGTTACTAACTATGACCCTTGATGAACGTGCTTTCTCCACTCACTAGCCACTCTCGTTTGGCGGTCATCACTCGCGCTCGCAAACGGAGCCCTCTGGCATAAGCCTGGGCCAAGGGGTAAGGATGAATCGGCCTGGTTGCATGCTTGCCTCACCCACTGATGGCCACTCCTTCAAGAGGAGTGCACGTTTTGTCTCAGTAGTCTGTGGCTGGGATTCATGTTGCCTCATCTGTCCTTTTTATTGGTTCTTTTAAGGCCCTCTTTGTGCTCAGCATGTGTCGTTCAGGAGGGGCACAGCAGGGGGGGCTGTAAACTGTTCCAACATTTTGAAGGGCCCATTTGGACAATTTTGTTTGTATTATTTCGATTTTCCCAAACAGTTTGGGAAAAGGGGAAGGGAATCAAAGATGTGGAATGTTATTTTGGAAAGTCAAACAGAACTTGGGGAAACTTCACTAAATTACAGCCGATTTTATTGAAATGAAAATAAAATGGTCCATTTTATAATACATGCCTGGAGTTTTGGTGTCCAAAGCCCCCTAGAGCCTTCTAGAAGCATGCCTCATTTTAGGGTGAACTGCAGATGCCTCTCAGTCACTGTGTGGTGTGGTTACTCTTGGGTATGCTGGTACATATATGCATACGTGTGTGTGTGTATGCTTATTCCTGTATACGTTTACTGAATGCATTGCATTGGACAATTTCGTATTGATGCTGCCATGTGATTACCCGCAAAAGCATGATACCCATCAAAGTCAGCTCTGAGATTACCTTGGTTTCACAATCCTGGTGCTACCCACCTGCGTGCCTCACACTCTTGCTGTAGACTGATGTTTGGGTGTTTGCTTTCCACCGTCCCCCATCCCCTCATGAACAAAGGCAAAATTTCTGTGACGGTTGTGTATTTTGGATACTTAAAAGGGCTTCAGTGTTATTTTGCATATTTTTCAACTCATTGAGCATAAAGCTGTGGGTATGCTGTTCGGCATGTTGCATTTTAATTTTTTTACATAAAATGTAAAAATAAGAAGCTTTGCAACTTCTTGATATCTTCCAAACCACCATGGAAAGAACTGTTGGTATTCTTCGAGAAATCTGTATTTCTTCTCTAAGAATTACTTTTTAAAAAATTGGCAAACTGTCCATTGTGGCCATTTGTACCTTTTGACGTTGCTACCAAATCAGTTCGACCAATCAGATCCTTGAACGTAAGCAACGCACTCTGTTGGCTTTCATGACGTCTACACAGACTCTTTGAACCGTTGTGTGGCTTTCTTAGTTGGTCCGAATAAAGACATTCTATTTGGTCCAAATTGTGTCGAAAGTTGATTGCTTTGCCTAATGTCATGGTTACGAGCATGGGGATCAGTAGTTTAACTGTGCAAATCCGTCAAATGTCTGTGTACGCTAAACAGAACATGCATGCTCTGCTTTGTCAGCTCGTTCAGGCTATCCACCCATTGCCTCCCGCCCCCCATGCTAATGTTTTCCTGTCCTTGTGTACACAGTCCCGTTTGGCCGGTGGGGTGAGACGGACTTCTGTGCAACTCAGTAGTTCCCTGAATACCGAGGACTTCAAGGTTAGTACCACACTTTCTGCGGGGCCAGGCTCATGCTTTGCATTCACTCCACATGTGCCGCAGGATTTTTTTGCGGGGAACCTGCCTTGAGCCGATACCCGTTAGGGATGGTGAAATCTTGCCTTGGTACAAAACACTTGCAGGCAACTTTGTAAAACCCATCGGCATTCATGTATGTATTGATGGGATGTGTGAACTGGCCCTGAATCAAGTGGCTTGTGATACTAACCGAATGGTTTAATGTGCCTGGTAGGGAGGTTTTTATCTTTCAGTCCAGGAGGAGTTGGTCTAATTGTTTGGACATACTGCTTTAGTTCTCATTTTTAAAGGGGTTTTTAGAGAAAAATGTAGAAGTGATAAACGTGCTTTGTCTTTCATAAAATTCAGAACGCAACTATTATTTTATTCATAACTGTTGCATTCAATCAGTCTGCTGCTACCCCAAAAAGAAAACATTTTGAGTGTTACATCATATTGTGAAACTTTCTATAAACAGATTCCTTTCTATTCTAGTTTTGGAGTTGTCAGGCAAGGATGTTGTGTCTTTGCCCAGTTGTTACCGTAATACCACGATTGGCACCTCCATGTTAGTAAATGCTTCGATGGTGATTGAAGACAAGACAAGAAGTACACAGTATGAAACTAAGACTGCAAGTTCAACTTATCATTGTCAGAGTTGATTAGTTAAATTGTCTCTTTGGGCACAAGTGTTTTCAAGCCACGTCCACTTTCTTTACAGGAGGCTAAGGCCAGGCTCACAGGAAGCCTTAGCTCAGGTACCATCAGCAGACACACCCCATTGACACGGACCGACAGCTCAGTGGTGGTCAGTCGACGAGCCAGTGATGATAGCCCCACGAGGCACACATTGCTTGATGGAACAATCTCGGCCCCATCGTAAGCCCATCCTCGCCATGAGTCTTGTCCTAGAAAATGTCAGGGTTTTTCAGTCGAACATAAGCATCTTTGTGAGTCGTTTGATGACTGGAAGGTTTTTACCTTTAAGTTAGAGACATCAACCTTAGCCTTCCACCCCGGTGCATTGTAAAATACATAGAATCCTTTTTGGGCTGAGCATAGGTGGAGTTCAGGTAGAGTTACGTTTAAAGCATACTTGCTGACATTGCATGAGGTGTTTTGTGAATCGTGATGAGTGACAAATATTGGAGTTCCAAAACTGGTTTGATGATTGTTTTTTCCAGTTCTGTAATTCACACCATGCTTTGTTGCATTGCTGTCAACAGGATGCCGCTTTGCTGCCGACTTTCAAAGTGGCCACGATCATGTGGCATGATGGTACTGTTCAAACAAGTTTCAGGTCATGCATTCCAGGGCTCAATTTCACAGCGCTGCTTAGTGCATGATTTTACACCAACAGAGGTTTGGTGTGTTTTATGAAGACCAAAGCAATAAGCACGGCAAAAGGCATGGGCACATTTTTCTCCTAATTCCTTGTGGTTCAAATCTCTGGCATTTGCTTTATGCCTTGTGATTTGTGTCTCTTGATTGCCGCTCCCCACCCCTACGTTTCCCACTGCATGCAGACTGAGTCCATCCAGCCCACTGCCGAGCCCCAACAGCAGGGATGCCGTGTCTCTCCCTGCCACGCCCATGGTCTCCACCTTCCCCAAGATGTTGGACCAGGAGGCAGTCAAGAAGGGCCTGGCCAAGGCAGACAGCAGCAGCGGCGGTGACACCAAGAACATCAAGGAGGACGACGTCTTCCACAAGGGGTGAGCCAGGGACAAACTCAAAATTTTTTTATGCTCTGGCATCGATATTGAAATGAAGGACCAATCCAAAGTACAGCACTGTGCCTGTATTGTCTGTAAGGTTAACACTCACGTTATCAAGTCTGTGTCTAGCACCGGGTGTGGTTTTTTCATCTCAAGACGATTGCTGTGCAGTGTAAATGGACTTTCAGGTTTATGTCCTTATACTGTGGAAACATCCTTTGAGTTTGCTGTCTGTTTCTGATCACACTGATTTCATCAGTACATGGGTGCGTGTCGCCTTGTTGGTAGGGGTTATGACTCCCGATCACAGGGTTGGGGATTCGAATCCAGCATCTGGTAATATCTTGGACAGGTCACTTTACGCTGAATTGCCTCTCACCATCATTACTTTTAACCACTTGCTGCCGGGGGCAGTTATCAATGTAGATGATGCTGGTCAGGGACAATTATCATTTTTTTCTGTTTTCAAAATTCTTTAAAAATTCCTGTCTTCATTTACTGGACACTTACAAACACGTGAAGGACTCTCTGGTGTCCATTCTAGCCTGACAGACAACAGCTATTGACGCTGGAGTATTTCAGCCAGGCCTGCCGCCTTGTAAAAAAGAGCCCAGATTTTGTGGTGTTACGTAATATTCTTTTGTTCACGAACCTGGCTCAGTGCGCTGCTGACCTCTTCTCAATAAGGGCCAGATTAGCATGCAGCGGTGCTGTGTGGGTCATCTCTGCGGAGGTGGAGCGCTTTTGTCCCTGGTGATAATCCGCTCACTCTAAATGCCCAAAACCGTGGTATACTGTTTCAAAACAAGGCTGGATTATCTCCACTTTTGATAGTGAAAAAATGTCGGTAATGCCCAACAGCCCGATCTTTTGTTCCAAGTACGGTCTTTTGTTACAAGGCGCTGTTGCCTTTGTCTGAGTTCAGAGACCCCAGCCACGCATATAAAGCATACGTGTCCGGATCCGGAATCCCCGGCAGGAAGTGGTTAATGGGTGCCTGTGAGGGCAGAGACTTTGCTTGGCTAGTTAATGGTCTTGCCTGATGAACGAGACAGTAATTTTAAAGCACTTTGAAATTGCTGAGATAATAGTGTCTTTCACTTCATTCCCTCCAAGGTATGAACAAGGAATCAGGACCCAGGTCACCCACGAGCTGGCAGAGCTGAGGGAGCAACAGAAGGCCTTCTGTGAGAGCCTAGAGGAACTTATTGACCATGCTGAGGAAGAACAGGAACGGGAGGAGACAGAGAAGGACATGTGAGTAGCCTGGCAAAGATGGGTGGTTCGGGAGAAGGACTCGTGAGTAGCCAGACAAAGATGTGTGGTTTGGTAGAAAGACTTGTGAGTAGCCCAGCAAAGATGCTGGGTTTGGGAGAAAGGCAGTCGAGTATAACCTGTGTGATCTATTATATTTTGCACAGTCTTTTGAGAGACATTTTCTTTTTGTGAAATTGGTAAATCAAAGCTGACTTTACTTTTTTTTTTTTTTTATACATTTGGCCTGATCCTCCCAAACAGTCAAGCCGAAAAGAGCAACAACAAAATCCTTCGGCAGTTGCAAGAAATATGTCAGCGCTGGCCACGCGCCACCCGCATCACCCGTCTTATTCTCACCGTATCCGTCTTCCTGTTTGCTCTGGTGTACTTGTTCGTCACCATGGTGCCTCTGGAAACCTGTCTCCAAGGAAGGCCCGTCTCCTACTCACCCTGGAGAACATTGAAGGACCTGCTGTGGCCTTACACAGACCTGAGACACCACACCCCACCTCCAAAATAGTATGCACACTACCTCCATTCAGATGGCTTCTATATGCAGATGTTTATGTATTTACCATACCATTGGTGGCCTTAAGGTATTTTTTTCCAGAAAGGCCATCCATAAAAATGTTAAGTTTCAGCACAAATAGTGTAGGCATTTTGGAAACTAGGAAGCTGGTGCTGTGTGTGCGTAAAAACTTCATTGAAGTATTTGTTCATTTTTTAAGGCACACAATATCTCTGTCGTAATTGGGAGAATTTTCAACTTTCCTGCAGAAGTGCTTGACAAATATCTTGTTTTAATCGAGCACGGTGGTGTAGCGAAGTGTAAGAATGGGCCTGTTGCCGTTGGGATCTCGGCACAAATCCCATCTTTGAATAGTCCACGTCCGTCCCCAGAGAGAACGTCGTTGAGGGAATCAGGATGTTTAAAGCAGCAGTTCCCAGGCTATGCAACCTTGCCATTTGGAGTTGCAGGTTTTGGCAGTTAATTCCTGTGATGACATGGGAGTTGCTTGCCTCAGCGAATCAGCACATCAATAAGTACTGAAAGGGAATGTTCACAGGGAAGATAAATGCCTCACATGTATCCTGCCATCTGGTTGTCTGGCTCTGTGTACACTGTTACAGTCGTGGCCTGCTGGACTTATCCCATGAGCAGACATTTCTTTCAGCAAGTGGCATTCATTCCATTCTGGGAAGATGAAGGTATATCCCACCTTGTGAGCATTTGGATGCACACAGTGAGTTGAGACTGGGTGGTATTTCCAAGCTACCTGCACCCCCATCCTTATCACCAGCTACACAAAAGGAGAAATATACCTCTGGCTTTGGCCAGAGCAGTTTTAAACATTCAACATTCATAAGGTAATAAGGAGTCAAACCAGGTCGTTGACAGGGAGTTCATAACTCTTGCACAGTGTGCCTATAGGCAACTTACATGTACATCAAGTACATATTTTTTTTTCATCAGACCTGTCCCCGTTTTCTTAAACTGCAATTCGAAAGTGCATTTGGATAGAATCTCGCGGAAGATCTTTTTGGCTACTTCATTAACTTTTTAAAAGTAGTGTTAGCATGTGGGTGGTATTTTTTGCAAGGTTGTTGATCTTGAGGGGTGTGTTACTGTCACAAGATTTCTGTGTAGATGGCGACTCACATCTACGAATTCAGATGGTCTGCATGCTTCAACTTATACCAGTTTACAAGCGAATTTATGACATTATGTCATTTGTACTTTTTCCCAACTCAACATAAATGGCTGGCCAACTGTGTGTTGTGTTGCTCTAATCTAAGTTGAAATCTTGATATGATGTTATTTCTTCTTCCAAAGAAACTGGCCTCATCTAACTTCAAATCTCACATACACATATCCAGGAAGTCTTCCCAATTGTTCTGTATTCATTCCTTTTGTGTCTCACACTATTTTACCCTGGCCTCTGATTTTTAAATGCTTGAACTTTTGTCTGTTTTTTTTTTCCTTTTTTTTTTGGACTCGCAATATTTATGTTCACTGGATGTGCTTAGTCGTTTTTTGATTTGTGAGGCTCACTTTTGTGTGTGTAATTTTTGCAGTATTTGGCTCCTTATCTTAGCAATGTCCCTTCCAGCATCTGAGGGGAATGAGAGAACCTGACTGATCTGAAGCAGGCTCATTTCCCACTTACAGAATCCACAGTATCTGGGTCAATTTCATTTCATACTTGGGATATGCATGTCAAAGGTTTGCCACTGTCTTTTCGTGTGATTCCTTTGTCTTTGGCAAACCACTTGTCATGTTGTCCATTCACATAGTGATTTATGTTAAAAGACCCCCCAAAATAACATCACTTACGCAGCTCCACAAACAACAGCATGTCGAAAGCACGAGGTATATTTGTGACCCACTCTGCCAAAAAGGCCCTTCAGTCATGCTATGCCTCTGTATGCAACAGACCATTCCGTACATCTGCCAGAGATCAATTCTAAATTGTACTGTATTTCGGGAATAGAATGTGCAACAGAGCTCAAAAATACAGAAATTTAATCCTTATCAACATCTATCCTTGGGCATCACTTAAAATCACTTTGTCACACATAAGCCCAAGGGTCATCTTTACAGAGCCAGTCACATTTTCTTATTTTCAAGCTACATTGTAAGTTCAGTATTGATGAAAGGAAAAAAACAGTCTTCCTATGTTTTTCATTGAAGTGGCATCTTGGGGGGGAGGGTGCCTCCCTGCTAACATGTTGCCAGTTGGGAAATGTAAGTTCCAACATGAAAAAGGAGTAATTTCTAGAATTCTATCACATTTTGGGCGGGATGAGGAGAAATTTTCCTCACCTCTTCTCCAGACGTGGATAGCCCCTGGGAATAGGAATGATGAAAGGATTTTAAAATCCCAAATTCTGTGTGAGGAATTCATGTGGATTTACTCCAGATTTAGTTCGGTATTCATCAAGATTCAGGGATACTGCCCTTTATAAACCATTTCATTTCTTTGTGCTTGGCGTCATATTTGGGTGATTTTTTTTTAGGACATATGGCTTCCTGATAAGTATTTGCACTTTTTAAAAATAAGTATTAAAACTTGTTTGTGGGAGGATGTGATTTTCCGGCGTTCTAGTCTGCAAAAAAAAAGTTAAAAGGAAAAATCAGAAAAACGGTTTTGAGCGCAGAAAGGTGTCATTGAGAGAAACAAATGAAGAGAAAGCTGAAACATTTAAACATTTTAAGGAATGTCAACTTATAAGTGTAATCAATTGGTTAATTTATCAACATGGGCATGTCTCCACAATTTTTTTTTTTCCAAGGGGGTGGTCAAAGTACTTTGTCCAGTGGGGACCCTCTCATCAGCATCCATCTGATGCAGTATACCATCAACAGTTGGGAGGAATCAATTTCCAGTTTCCTCTTAAGCAAGTGGGTGATTTTTATCCTGTTTTGTCTCCATCTTCTCATTTATATTGCTTTCCTCCTTATTTTCCAGGTTTCCCCAATGAAGCAAGTACCCACCTTCCCCTTAGGAATGCCCATGTTTACCAATGAACTTTGCAGATCCACAGAACCAAAGATCTATATATCTGTATACATGTAAGAATGTTGGCATTCTTTTATACTGAATGTGAAAACCTGTACCACGCAAGAGTCATATATGCCTGCCCAATTTACATATTGTTCACGTCTCAATGCCACTATTGACGCTCTTACAAATTTATTCTAGTGTGGAAAAAAGTCTGCATCTTTAGATGTGCCTTAGCTTCCAAGATATTTGTATATATATGAAAGTGTTGATAAAAATTGGTTATTTATATTTATATTCATGCTGAGAATGCAGGCAATAGATTAATTCACTTCAGCCTTCGATTGTTATGTATGTCCAACTATTTGTGTCTTTGTTTGATAAACACTGTTGAACAGTCTTCTGAGTACAGATATTGTTATTAAAAGATGAATTTTTTTCACATCCTGACTAACAGTTCCTTTATCATTTCTTCATTTGGATGGTTTTGATTTGAAGAAATCCCTTTCAAATGGGGATCCACTTGACCTCAAAATCACCGGCTACTCGCAAAAGTCGTAAGAGGTCTACTCTCCACATGCCTTACCCCACCAGGCAGTACCAAGGTACACCTCAAGGTGAACCGTACCGGTGTTCCACTCCAAGAAAGCCGTCTCCTGTCCTTTGTCGACCCTCACTATGCCCTCACTATATTCGATCCATAAAGGGCAACTTTCTTCACCCCTGACAATGCCAATGTCATTGTACTCAGCAACCTCCGGGAAGGGAGAAGGTGCATAGCAGGGTCTCAATGCAGCCCATGTATTCCCTTTACCTCCAATGGCTAATTAGAAGAACAAAAGGTATTGGGGAAATCAATATTGTGACTCAGTGCCCCGAGTCTAATTATCGCCTAATTTCCTCCTAGAGATCAGGTATGATCGTAGACCTGATTTAAAAATTATTCTGAAGTGAGTTCCAGACTTAAGGACCGTCATCGCTGTATGAAAATAAACATCAAGTTTGTATTATGTTTGATGTACTTTTGTCTTACTTTGGGGAAAAGAATCTTTTGATAGTGCATTTAGAAATGGCTTGATAAGAATGCATGTACTGGAAAGACAACTGTAGGAGAGAGTTATACATGGACGTCAGAAGGGGGAGACAAAGAGGTGTTTCCCTCCGGTAAAAGAAGAGAAATAAAAAGTAGAAACACAATTTTAGACTCGACAATGAGTAATGATCTATCGTTTGCCTCTTCGAATCTGGTAGTTATGGAATTCTAAATCCTGTTTTTTTTTCCCCAGATCCAAATTAACTTTTGCCTCAGACTTTGGCAGTCAACAATATTAACAAGATGGAAAAGGATTATCGGACTTCACAGTACGTATTAACAAATAAGACCGAGAAGGATTCCAAAACAATGGTTTCCTTAATACATGTATTTAGTAACTTCATCAAATCATTTCTATAATGAATCGGCCCTCAATTGACCCCTTGATTTGTGTGACTGTTTGCCTCTGTGGATGTTGGGAAATTTCAGCGTCCATACACATACAATAACACGATTAGTCAAAATGAAGTTTTTTTATATTTATATGTTTTTATATTTAACGTTTGTTTTATTTAATATTTATTAATTTCAGTTTTCAATATTTTCAGTTTATTGCTAATTTTTAATGAATATAATTAAACTTCTTTTACTTCAGTTTTAATTGTTGCTTTTTTACTTGCTTAAAATTACATTTTGTTCACGTTGCATCAAATAAGTAATATTGTTTGAATTTATTTTTAGTTCACTCTAGACATTTTTAATATTTAAGTTTTTCCTTATTTTAACCATATTTAGTAGGTGCGGATCCTGGGGATTTGGTGGTCACAGCCCCTTGCTCATTTATTTTATTTCATTTTTGATTTATTTTCTTTTAATATATAATTTTAGGGCATACCTCTAAAAAGTATAAAAAGTATAGACATGTAGTGTCTTATTTCATTTGTATAGCTGCTTAAAGACAAAATAAAGAGATTAAATGGCTTCATTAAGAGCCACAACTACCTTTTTTTGGGTCCGTAATGAAAACGCAACAGGAACAAGTATTTGCCATTATTTTTTGGAAAATATTGCAGAATTTCCAACTATTTAATAATACCCTAAGAATTTTCCTGGATTTGAGGAATTCCCTTCAAATTTCCCTAGATTTTTTATTTCCAAAAACATATCTTTCATAGCAAGAAATTTCCTGAAAAAATAAGGAAATTTCCTTGAAAGTGTAAGCCCCGGTACCATGGACGATCCCTCCATGCTAGCAGTGTGTAATAATACGGGTATGTGGTATTTTTTAGAACTCTTTTAATGTGAAAACTGAGGGCGCTAAGCTGTCAATCTATCTGGTCTAGTTTCTCATCTCTTTTGCTACATATCTATAATTTCTGTTTTGGGGATCCAGACTTGTGAAAAACAACCTCAAGAAGAGCACAAAACACAGCTTTGGCGAGGGTCTCACATTTCAGTAGCTCCATCGGTTATGATTATGGTCGTGTCTGTGGACAGAGAATACATTGAAATTCGTAATTAAGCAGGTTTGTTGATAATTTTTAATTGCTGTAATTTTGGTGGCCTAGACTATGTGTAGACGTTTTTCCTGCCCGACGTCGTGCAAGTCTTTTCCCACTAACCATGTAACCGTTTCCAAAATAAGGACCATAAACTATGACGTAACGTTAGGCCCATGATGAGTGATGATGACATTGTTGATGTTCAAGCGCAAAGTTTCCGCGCGTGTAGCAACGTGTGACCACAGCGGCCATCCCTGATGGTAACACTGCAGATAATGATAATCCAGGTTGTATGGCTACCCTCAGAAAGTGTGGGGTTCAAGGTCTGTGGGCATGAGCATGATGAGTGGGGCGGACATTTAACCCCACGGCCATGATGGCACAGCCAGTTCTGGGGGTATCCAGGCATGCCAGGTACATGTAGATGTTAGATTTGTTTGTTATACTGCCATGACTGTTGGTAGGCCTAAATGCACTTGAACAGTTTTGGCTAGCATACAAAAAGGCCTAATCCCTATGTGAATAGGCCTACATCATACATGCAAACATTTATTTGTAAAATCATATTGAAGTCGGAGGATGGGACATTAAGGCTAATGAATGTTTCACATTGATAAGAATAATTTCATTCAGTGAAATTTCTTTTCAAATGCTCCTTTCTGTCTCCTCATGAAATTAATCTTACCATTGCACGAATGTGAAACATGTTAAGGTTTATTTGTTTTATACAATACCTGCATAAATTCTCTTCTCAGTTTGAGGAGTATGAATAGGTTCTGCTGGTATATTATTTCCATCATTTTGCGGTGCAGATTCTCGTCTGAAGTGCCACCCACTGGTAGTACTCTGCAGTATTATTAAACTGGTTTCCATCCCTACGATATTTTCTTCTCTCTCACTGTGAATAACAGATACATGTATATAATGGGGATGGGAACCAGTCAAGTGAAATAAAGTTTGATTCAACAGGTACAGTCATTTTCCTTGTTCCCAAAATTATTCCCTTGGGTTGGTTGGTTTCAGAATTTAAGCTTTCAATTACGGGATCGACATAAGCGACGATGACATTTTTTCTAGTTCTGGATTGGTTTGACCAGTTCCGGACGACGTCAATATAAAAATAACCACGCCTGAAACTATTGTAACAAGCTAATTTTGTAATGAAGAATTTACTAATTTAAAGAAAATTATTTCATATATCAGAATTCCAGCGAATTGAAAAAACAAACAGGCTTGCGTAAATTGTGACTTGACTTTTTCAAACTGCACAGCCAGCTACCAATGATACTATCCCCAAAGCCTCATGGATGACGAACCCATAATGTGTATTTACATGTACATGTACATCACTGTGTCACACGGGAACAATGGAATAGTCAGTCATTGCGTGGTGGGAATTGATCTTAATTTTGCAAACCGGGAAACTAGTAGAACTGTGCATGTCTGACAAAGTGATGTTGTTCGGTTTGTGAAGTTAAAAGGAACTTTGAGTGATCTGTTGACATGAAGCAATTGTTTGCATGTATTGTCTCAGCGTTATTTTGTGAAAATTTATTAAAAAAAAAAAATTTTGTTGTTGCTTGTTTACCCAGATTGTGCATGGACAAGTGGATACCAAGATGGATGACATGGATGGGTCATCCGAAGGGGATGAGTACTTCCAAGAGATAGCTCGAGGAGCCGAGGAAAGTCTCATACCACTGAAAGAAGACTTGGCCGAGTGGCTGACACGGGTATTAGGTGAGAAAACAATTCCTTGACATATCTATCTCAGGACAGAGACAGATAAATCAAATTGATCCTTGAGGTGGTGAGGGAGAGACACCGGCTGGCATAAAGAAGGACAAACAGGTCTACTCACAAAAGAGATACCGGGTACCTTTTGGCATGGTGCTACTGGTGTTGTAGTCAAGACAGTCATAAGACGTTTCACAGTACAACGCTGAATACTACACACTGGTGCTACCGTAAACCTCTGACTTAAAACTTATTTATAAGAAGGCCTTGGCAGAACAGTTGAGACAGGCATAAGGGAAGAATGATATATGGAAAAACATGTACATGTAGATGAGGACAGACAAGGAGATGAGGAGACTAAGCTGAACTTTGAGAAGACACGGGTACTCAACAGAGAATGGGATGAGCAGACTGACAAAGGGATCCATAAGAAGGCCCAAAAGAATCACTGACATGGGTTTTTGGGGTGAGAGAAAAGTATGTGAGAGACGGCTGGGCAAATTAGTTCCATTAACTTAAGTGAGACTTTACAGGGCGCCCAAGGGAAAAATCATACGATAACTATTCCGAGAAAAGGGACTGCTTGAACTTTCCTTTTCCCATCTTCTGCAGGAGAGAAAATCACCACCACGGGGTTTATGGATTCCATAGCCAATGGCGTACTTCTATGCAAATTAGCTCAGCTCATCCAAGACAAGGCTGTTGAGTGCCAACGAGCTGGCAAAGCTATAGGAGTGAGTATGCAGCCGAAACGGGGTCAGTGGTAGCGCAGACCGGGGCAGGCTCGATCAAGAACCACTGGTTAATTAGTGGTTGGGTCATGACCTGCCTGGCACATGTGCAGTGAACTTGAAGTGCATATAACCTTGGTCAACCGTCAGGTCATTTGGCTGAAGGGGAGAACAAGGGGGCCGCGGGAAGGGTAAAATAGCAAAAAATGAAACTGAAAATGAAAATAGTGACATACTGTCTTTCTGGCATTTGTTTTATAACTGGTCCTCTCTGCACTGTGCTGTTAAAAATGGTTCGTGGCCAACCAACGATGCGATCATGCGACCAACCTCGATGGGCTAGTCGTGAATAGTTGACTAGATTAGTCCAGCCATTGTTGACGAACGTGTGTTCGATCAGAGCTAGTCAAACTACATGTATGGTTAACTATCATCCTTGATCAAACTTGTTCCTGGTTCAACCAGGCCCCAATCTCATGGTGCTTCTTAACAGTTAAGCAGAGGGGTCATGCTCACTCTACATGCTTACTAAGTTTGCCATCGGTAAGCATGTTTCATGACAGTGTGTGCTGTGATTGTGCATACAGTTATGTGCTCATGGAGATTTTCATTGTTTTGTCACTACGTTAGCCAAATATTTCTTCTGAGGTTAGCGTGCCCTTTGCTGTGCTTACTGCTTTATACAGTCTCCATGGAATACACGGAGCCTCTGTTAGCGTCAAATTGTGTGCATAGCAGCGCCATGAAATTAAGCCCAGTTGAGACTGAGGTCAGGTTTCATGTAGCCACGTCAAGAAGGCCAGTTCTGTCAAGATTATCTGATTATAATGTACTGTCTAGATAATATGCCACCTTGTGAAACCGACTGGAACTAACTCAGTTTGTTCAAAATGGTTCAGTTGGATTGGGATCTTAAACATGTTTGTAAGTAACTCAGAGTACCAGTAGGAAGGCTCTTCTTCAAGCACATTGATATTGAAACCAAGCAAGAACTTTATGAGGGTACAGCGTGATATGCAGATTTCATTATTCCTACTTATATGTACATGTACGTGAAGTATATGTTTGTATTAAAAGTGAAAGTGCGATGTTTGATATTCAACATTTCCACGGGTTCGTTCATCAAATGTGCAGGTTTACTTGGATATTTGGCATTCCTAAAGACCTTTATAGCTCTGTGAGGATTAACCATCTTGCATACCGGTATCGGCCATTGTTGATGGCCCAGCTCACCAAAGACCATCTGCCTAATACTCATGATTCTTCCAATGGCATTGGAAACTGAAGTAAAAATATGAAATACCAGTACATATCTGGTGTTAACCTAACACACTGTATTTAGCATTGAGTGTGAGAGTTGAACGTGGACCTGAATACTATACCTGAATTACATTGAGACAGTAATCTTATTTAAGATGCAATGCTCATACTCGAGTCTATTGAAAACATGAGAAAATGTATACATGTTTAAACTCTCCCAACTTACCGTATGTGGTCTGATGTTCCTCTGTACCCGAGTAATCTGTGCTGTACACTCAGAAAATGTTTAAATGAAGTTGGAAATTCAACTGAAAAAGAGTATAGAAATATGACAGCAGTTTTTAATCAATTTTGGTATTAACTGGGAGAGTTGAGGGCAAACATGAATATCAGGCTACCAACATACCGATATCTAGACCATAATGCTCATTTTGTGTTATACTTATACTTGCATGACATGGTAAATGAGAAAATTGAAATATACACCTGCAAGGGTGGCAAATAGAAGTCAATTTTCAGCTGTTCATTTGCAAACCAGTTTCACATCTAGTGGAATGGATAGCACATTATTGATATTAACATGTAGCCACATTCCAAGAACAGTATGTTGAATATTCCATTGAACCTGCACATTTGCTGTAAATGTCAAATATTGAGCGTCATATTAATTTTGCCATCGGAACTTTTTTGTTTAATGTGAATGGGCTTTATTTTAGTTTCTGTTCACAAATATCTGCTTTGTTGGTATACAGTTTAAAAAAAGTACAAGTATCTTAAGTTTGAATGGACCTCTATGATCAACTTTTGTGACTTTTATGCAAATACAGACCTATTCAGGCAACTTGCCTTGAAAGTACTTTGCCAACTTATCTTTCGTTGATGCTTTCCAAGGTTGTAAATGTTGAAAAGAAAATCTTTTTACTTCTGGTTTCTCTTGGGATGCAGAAAATGCCTTCTAAAAAGCTCAAGTATCGGCAGAACGCCGTGGCTGAGTCGTTCTTTGCCCGAGACAACGTGGCCACTTTCCTGGCTTGGTGCCGAGGCATTGGGCTGGAAGACACGTGCCTCTTTGAGACTGAAGGCTTGGGTGAGTTTGAACAGACGGAGCATCCAAGCCCGGGCCAACATGCTAAAAATCCATTTTGACCTGCGAGCCCATGTTATGCAACTGACATTTTGCTTGTTCCCCTTTGCCCATAGAATGCATGCAAGAAACTGTTTTATGACTTCATGTTGTATCTTTTGAAAGGTTCAAGTGCTTTTTGTTTTCAAACACCTGTTTCTTTTTACCTTTTTACCACTAAGTTTCTAATTTATGCTATGATTTTAACTCTCCTGAGCTTCAGATCTTTATACATGTAGTTTTACCTCCTCACTCTAGCCTGTAGAGCTCACACATGGCAAAACCCCTTGAAGTCATCCTGTTCTGAGTGTGCATAACCTTTCAAACCCTTCAAAATTGACAGCCTTATAAACTCGGGGCTGGTGATTAAATTCTCAAACGTTGCACAAGTGCATTCCATGTTACCATGTAAACCGTTCAGAAACCTGCCAGAAAGTTCTGTCTACACTGCTAATTTAGCCTTGTATCCCCCTTCAGCTGTAGGGTTTGAAAAATAACATTTCAGCTCAAGGTCAGCTTGCCTTTCCCTCGTGATCACTTCCAACCTCCCTCATTAAAAATAATGTCACATATTTCCACTGTGTTCACAGTCAGATAGAAAGACGTATGTATTGAAACTGTTGGTGTGTGTCTCAGAAAGTCACAGTTGTCAGCCTGTCAGTTCCCACTCACCATTCAATGCCCCATTCAGGAAGTCATTGATTTCCCTTCAGGAAGTGAATCCCTTTCAATCATGTTCATTGTGGGGCCATGCTGGTTGAGCACAGCCAAAAACTTTTGAACACATGCCTAGCTTGTTATTTGAGGCTGGGAAAATATTTAAAATGTTGTGAAAAAATTGCACAGCAACAGAATAATATTTTGTGTATGTGAACATGAGAAAAGGAAGTGCTTTTCAGAAGTTGAAGTTACATACATATAAAAAGTATGCTCTACCAGGATTTCACTAGTTGTAAAGCGCAGTGTGTTCATTTAGCTGCAATCAGTGTTCTTGAATGCAAACCTCCAAAAGGCATCTTTTTTGTCTCAGTTAACCTTATTTTCAACTTTTGTTTCACTGTTTCAAAGAGCATTTTACCACATTTTGTTGTTTATGCTAATGAGTATTTCCATATTCATGAGCAGAACTATGATGTCATCTCAGGAAAAAGCCTGAATGGTACATTGGTTTGTACACAAAGAAGTCCTGCATATTTGTAGATTTTCCTAGACTTGGTTTTCTCGTCTCTGCTGATTTATTGTTGCTTGATGTGGGTAACAATGTTTGCAGTTAGTAAATTCTGGGTTCACAATTTGAACAGAAATGCCTATGCACTGATCCATGGCTTACCATAATGAGCTCACCGCAACAGTGCCCTCAGTTTTCTGGGAAAGCACAAATAATTTTAATTGTTTAAAAGCATACACTTTTCAATGCATTTAACCAAATAGGAAAGTAAAAGAGTTTTCAAACATCGTAGAAGAGTACAAAGTTGAGGAAAAATTATGTCTAAGAAAAATTCATTGCAGCTGCACTTCAATTTAATGTAGTACGATGACATACTTCAGGTCATTTGTAAAATTGGTGATGTCATTGGCGTGTCTGATAATCAGTTTGATCAAGCATTTCCACTTTTATTTCTTAAATGATTCTTGTTTATTGTTTAGATGAGGGAAAGTATCCCTTTACTTATTGAAAAAGTAAGTTCTTGGGTTTTGAAATGTTTTCATAACTTGACAATAACCTGTGTTTTAAACTCCGAAGAGTTTTAGGTCTTTGAATGCTTACAAATGAGGGCTTGTTGATTGACTACTGACATAGAAAGACTGCTCCGGCAGTACATCTTCCAACTCTCTTGTCTGTTTTCCCCTCTCTCTCAGTGCTACAGAAAACGCCCCAGAATGTGCTGGTATGCTTGTATGAACTGGCCAGGCTAGCGGGCCGCTACGGCATTGACCCCCCAGGGCTGGTCAAACTGGAGAAGGAGATTGAGAAAGAAGAGCAGAATCCTCGGCCAGCCTCTGCCGTCACTAAGAAGAAAGCTACCAGCTTATTGGATACGGAGGCGAGAGTTTGTCTATGTGTCTGTCAGTCAGTCTAACTGTCTCTGAGTTGTTTTTCATCCTTGTACATGTGCATTTGTAAATCCTGAAGCCAGGTTGGGTCAGTCAAGTCCATGAGACATTTTCTTGTGTACCTTTGTGTGAACTCTATCGCGTTTCTCTAAACCACGAGCACAGCACTTGACTGGACCTTTTTACTAAGACTTCTGTTGGTACATGTGTGTTTGTACAAGCAAATGTGCATTCATATATTAGTGGAAAATTTATTTAATTGAAATTAACTCATTCAATGCACACATCACAATTTTCAATATATATTTATAACCAGTGTTGTAATTTATGTTTATAGGTGATGAATGTCGCCAAGCAGTGTGACTTTGGTCTTGACATCCGAAGGGTGTCAGAGGGAAGGTATAACATTGGTGGCAAGATGGTCTTCATCAGGGTGAGTGTTCTCAATGGTCTCCCCTAACAAATGCTATCTACCTCAAAACTGTCCAACTCTAATTGAGGGATCTGTTGAGGTTTGAGGGTCTGGTACCATGCATGAAGAACTTCCCATTGAGCGTTGTTAGCGTGAGGAATTAAGACCTAAAGGCTGATTCATATTTCAGACGAATGCGAAAGTGACGCGAATTTGACAGCAAGAAAAATTTGCAACAAAATTTGGCTCGAGTTGAAATGTATTCAACTTTTGCAAATTCTTATGCAAATATTGGCTATGACCTCCCAAATTTGCATTCATTTTTGCTTTTGCGCGAAGTATGAACCAGCCTTTAGATAATGGTGCTGGATTTTGCTTGAGTGGGAGCACAGAAGCAGTTACTCCCTCGAGTGACTGGCTAGTGGTACTGTGCTTGATTTTGTTTGGTACTGCTGTGCAATTTACGTGTATACTGCATAGACCCATCCATACCAAATGACTTAAACTTCAGTAGGGTCGACTTGTTGGAATTTAACAGGTCCTGTCCAGTCATGAGCCAGTACATGTAATTACAGTCCGCTGTATCTGCTGAAGTGTTAGGTTCAGTACTGTTTCTAATACAAGGTGCATAGGGTTAAATCTATTAACCTATTTGTGTCCCCATAATCTGTAGAAATCCAGAACTAGTTTTGCTGTAGTTAGGTGATTTGATAACATATTAACCACTTCATGCCGGGGCATTTTTCAATGTTGATGATGCTGGGTCGGCATAATTATCATTTTTTCCATTTTTCAAAATTCTTCAATAATTCATCATTTCATTTAATGGACGTTTATAGCCGCACGAAGTAATCTTTAGGCGCTACTCTAAGTTGACAGGTGACCTTCATTGATGCCCGAGTATTTCAGCCAGGCCTACAGCCTTGTAAAAAGAGCCCAGATTGTGCGGTGTTATGTAACTTTCTTTTGTTCACGAACCTGGCTCAGTGCACTGCTGGCCTCTTTTCAATAGGGCCAGATTAGCATGCAGCGATGCTGTGTGGCTCATCGCTGCGGTGGTGCAGCACTTTTGTCCCCGGTGGTAATCCGCTCGCTATACATGCCCCAAAGCCTAATATGCGGTTTCAAAACAAGGCTGGATTATCACCACTTTTGAGAGAGAAAAATGTTGATAATGCCAAGCAGCCTGGTGTTTTGTTCGGAGCACGGTCTTTCGTTACGAGGCCCTGTTTCCTTTGAGTTCGGAGACCCTGGCCACGCATATAAACCATACGTCTCCAATTCCAGAGTCCCCGGCAGGAAGTGGTTAAGGGTATTCATGTTGAGCTTTTGTCTGAGTTTGCCAGGCAACACGATAGACAGACCCAGAAAGGATCCTTGCAAAGTGCCAAGAGGGTTGAAGGTTGCTTTGTAATATAGTGTGATTATACTGAATGTAATGAAATGTGGCTGACATGGTGAATGAGATAACTATTAAAGAAAGTATTACCTGCTTCCCACACCATAAATTTTGCCAAATTTCAGCTTCTTGATGAAAAGCAAGGTGCCAGGGAATACTGTCTGTTTTTTCAATTAAGTTTAGTTAAAAAGAAGCCCTTTGAATTTGTTGCTGGTTTCTTGAAGACATCAGTATTGATGTGGTCATAGGTTTTGACTTGTGTACACAAATGTGCAGGTGTGCCATACGCAGTGTGGACCTCTGCACAAAAAAACTCTTTCATGTAGGGTGCGATGGTGTTGTGTGGACTCGCACACGTTCGCGCAACTTTGTCGCTCTCTGAAAAACAGCCACAGAGGCATTTTGAGTCAGGGTTATCTGTAGAAAAGTGAAGAGGAACAGTCCAGGAAATCATCATGAAAACTCCTGCTCGGAGTCAGCCTAGTTGGAGAAAAAGGAATATTTTACCTGGGTTTTCTTAACCACAGGAGAACAAAGGAATGTCCACACCACGTATGTGAAACAAGATGAGCATGTTGAAATGTGCATTTCAGCGGCTTGCATTCCTCAAGTGTTATTTCATTTGGCATCCCAGATGTTACGTGGCCGGCATGTAATGGTCCGTGTGGGCGGGGGCTGGGACACTTTGGAGCACTTCTTGAAACGGCACGAGGCCTCCAAGATCACCCGGGTCAGCCGGGGCAGCATCACCACAGAGGCGGGGGAAGCCGTGCCCGATGACTTCTTCCTGGTGCAGGCCAAGTACAAGAAAGATGGCAGAAGCTGAGGTTAGTCAGTGGGTAAGGAGGGGGAGGCGAGGAAATTCCGGTAAGTCTTGCTGCTATTAGATGCTACTCGCCTTGGCTCACATTTCTTCCGGTAGCGAGCCGCCACAGATGCCTCATTCATCACCATGCTCAAAATTTACCTCACTTGACTGGCCGCCGGTTCAGTAGCCATGTTGTCTAAACAAAAACTATATCAGAATTTTAGAGCTTTCACATGTTATACAGTAAGCCTAGTATGAAAAGTAAAGAGCAATTTAACTAAAAATAAAGCCAGGCCTTACATGTAAGCCATAGCCACTCGGACAGGCCTTCCAAGACTGTGTAGTCGGATAATCTCTGGTATATTTGTGGTATGGGATTGAAAATCAATCGTAAAATTGCTGTGAAATTTGTAAGCACAGCACCAAGAGATAAAGCAAAGGGTAAACCACAGAGAGAAAGGGTTTCTTATTTTGCAGCAACCAACTGGGAGTAAAACCAAAGCACATTATTAACGAGGTTGCTAGATTTTCAAGCTAGATTGCCAGAGAGGCAACAGCTCAAGCCAGGAATAATTTCCGACCGAAACAAGGTAAACAAAGTTGGTCTTGTGCAGGTATTTTGCCGATGCTGTATATGTACCCGTACATGTATGAAACAAAAGCTCTGATCAAATACAAAAAAATATACCATTGAAGCAGCTTGACGCCATTGGTTTAAAATGCCTTGACTCCCAGATGTTGAATTATATTAATGTACTTCCATTGAAAGCTCGTAATATGCAAATTGAAGCAATTTATAATCCATCTACAGCAGCATGCATTGAACCGTGAAACGGTACATTAAAAATTGGTGTCGTGCATATTCTTGGTGGGTGATTATTAATTAATTCCAAAATTTACAAATTAAAAACTCAAGGACTTTTTTTGCATTTCAACCAATACCAGATGCCTGAAGGTACTGCACTACCCTCCTATTTTCAGGAAATGGGCAATTCAAATGAACAGAAATTTGATCTATTTTGTACTCTTTTCATTGGGAATTTTTGGAAATCACTTTTGAATATGTTTTCAATTCAAAGGCTTGGCCTCTTTGGTAGACCTCATATATTTTCCAAAGTCATTTTGTGTGTACAAAAAAGACATAATCCACCTATTTTTAATCATTTGTATTAAATCAGTCAATGCTGTTTTTCGCCTACTTGTTCTGCTATTCCAGAATTTGTTATATAAACTTGATTTACTGTTCTTTTCCAGTTGAGGGAAGTGTTTAATTCGTTATTTATTTAAATCTCAAATCTAAAAAAAATTGACCATTTACTATTTATCACATTTTATATCAATATATATTGTTTAAGATTTTTAAAGTTAAACAAATTCTTCGTTTTAAGGCATATGATCATTGGTCATTTCACCTTACATGTATGTTGAAAACATTTTGTCATTTTATTCAGGTGTTTATGTATTCATTTGGAGAAAAAAAAAGCAAATAATTGGAGGACATTTATCTCAGCTCCGTCCATTTTACAAATCTTCATTCAGAATCCCACCCACCCGTGCTTAACATTCCAAAACCTTACTCATTGCTAAGCAGATTATGCTCAAAGTTCTATTGACAAGTTAAAGTTGCACCCTGTTAAGATTGTCTTCATTCCTGTATTGTCCTCACACTAAATGTGAACTTGAAACTAAATGTGAACTTGAGAGTTAAGTCAAAATATTTACTTGGTATCTATCACGTTCACCGTTTTAGGAGTTGTGGGTTTCCCATTTTGCTCTTCTGTTTTTTGTATACAGAGCTTTGTACATGTAGGTGTATTTGCAACGTGTTCTTGCCACAGAGCCTGCGTCTTTTGAATAGTCGGCAATTCCTGAAAACGCCAGTGTGGGTTTTTTTTTTTGAGACAGAATGTTTGTACATGTATGCACCTGTAAGGTGCATTGTTCAACCATTAGATCCGGGATATCGTTTGCTATGTTTTCGTGGGTGTACATTGTAGATGAATTCAGCTTCTGCACTTGCACAGTTTTATTAAATAACAGCATCGCAAAAGTCTGTTTCGCAGAAAAGCAGAAATGCAGTACCAGGGGGTAGAATAATTCTTTAACGCCACATTCCGAGTTTCTAAGTTTTTTGTGGGTTATGCTTGTTAAATTATGGGTTGTCGTATTTGAACTCTTGTATATTTTATCTTTGTTGTTCCATGTGGTGTAAATGATTTGAAGTTGATTTATATTTGTGCTAGTGTATTCAGTGCATTTTATTGCTCAAGATATGATTTTTAAAGTGATCAAGCAAAATTGTATGTATATTTTAGGTTGTATTCAGATGCTTTTAGGTCTATTTTGAGGGTATGCTGCATCGGAAAATTTGTTGGTATTCTTGTGTAATTTTTTCATGCGATTTTGATATTTTTACCAGCGTGTTATTCATAGCTTAATTTGATTGACTGCGCCAACTTGTACATGTACCTTGTTTATGAGTTGTCTCATTGTGACCTGCCTCGGAAAAACAGAATGTTGTGATGTGTTTGCACTGCGAGAATGCCAAGAAGAAAATTGAACTGAGTAAGACTGAACGGCCAACGTTCGGATACTTTGAACCAAAAGGGAAAGTAGTGAGGATAGTACCAGCATGTCAATTCTATCCATTTACACAAACATTAAGCCAGGTCACAAGATTCAACTGATGGCTAAAAACCTTTATGTTTAAGGGTATACAGCATCACTCTCACAGAACGGGGACTTTTTATAAGTGTTAGAAGTTAATGGTATACATGTGTTGGTTTTGGTTTGCTCGATAACTGGGAAATTACCAAACCTTGGCAGTGCTGATTGAAACAGTAGGGAGGACCAGAAGAGGTAGTCTACCCTTTTAATTAACACACTGCCTTATCTCCATTCCTCACGTTAAACATACCAAATGTTTGCGACCTCGTCATCTACTGTTAACATTTGAAGGTTGTTGTACATATTCACCAGTGAGCACTTGTAATGCTAACCAACATCTTATTTACCAAGGTTAAGACACGGTGATACCGACCAATTCTTGTTTCGTTCTTCTTGCCTGTAATTTACTTTCTGCCCAGTGTGTCTAGGCTTAAGGTCCTCAATCTGCACAGGATATTTTGGTAAACTTTTCTGCTTTGCCAAATGTTGATATATACATTTACCAGTACCTTGCGCACATATTAAATTGGGTCATTCTATTTTTTGAGGTGCACGTATTTGCTATATAAATTTGCAAAAATTTGTGTTCACAACTGTTTTAAATTAAAATGACTAGCAAGTCACTGTTGTTTCTGATCTATTGTTTCATAGCGACTGTATGTGGATATGCATATAGTTTCAAAAGTAACAGTGCAAGGCTAACACCTTGCAGGTCTTCAGATTGTCACTGATAATTTTGAAAATGCAAAAACCCTGGATGTGGAGGGCTTGTTGATAATGCAAGGCTGTTCAGGTTTTTGTTGGAAAGGCAAGGCTAACCTCTTGCTGTTAAGGTTTGGTTAAAAAATCCAAGGCTAACCCCTTGTTGTTAATGTTTGGTTGAAAATGCCAGGCTTACCCCTTCCTGTAACGGTTTTCACTGGAAAGGCCAGGCTAACCCCTTGCTGTTAAGGTTCGGTTGAAAATGCGAGGCTAATCGCTTAACGTTCAGGTTTTTGTTGAAAATGTAAAACTAACCCCTTGATATTAATATCTTTGTTTAAAATGCAAGGCTTACTCCTTGCTGTTCAGGATTTTGTTGAAAAGAAAGGCTAACCCCTTGCTATTAATGTTTTTGTTGAAAATGCCAGGCCAACCCCTTGCTGTTAATGTTTTTGTTGAAAATGCCAGGCTAACCCCTTGCTGTTAATGTTTTTGTTGAAAAGAAAGGCTAACCCCTTGCTATTAATGTTTTTGTTGAAAATGCCAGGCTAACCCCTTGCTATTAATGTTTTTGTTGAAAATGCCAGGCCAACCCCTTGCTATTAATGTTTTTGTTGAAAATGCCAGGCTAACCCCTTGCTGTTAATGTTTTTGTTGAAAAGAAAGGCTAACCCCTTGCTATTAATGTTTTTGTTGAAAATGCCAA